TGTAGTTTCCTTGTAGTTTCTGGTAATTCGCCATGAGCTCATTGAGCTTCCTGATAACCATTGCTTTGAATTCAATATCTGATAGTTGAATTGCCTCTATTTCATTTAGCATTCTTTCTGAGGAGTCCTCCTATCGCTTAGACTTGGGCTTGTTTCTTTGTCTTCCATTGTTTGTGGGAGTCTTCTTGTTTGCTTCTGTTTCTTAAATTGATCTGCTTTTACTTTCTGACTTTGTGGTGTGAACTTCTGTGATAGGAAGCCTGTGAGATACAGTAATGCAGTCTCCTTGATCACATCAACTTGATGTTGTTGGAATGTCCTTTATGCCTTTTGTGCTGTAATTGGATTTTGATTATTGTTGGGTCATTCTTTCGTGAGTCTTTCCCTGACACTGGTTGACTGAGGTTCACTTCTCCCACCACATTTTGTGTGCTGTTTTTCAAGCACTGCATGAACAAAACTGCAGAGCCTAAGAAACAAACCCATACCCACAAACATATCTCCCTCCCACAATCCCACTATCAATAGCAAATGATCCAGTATTAGTAAGGGTGTAATGAGATTAAGACTATTGTAAGAAAAGAGAGTAGATATGGGATGACCTACTGAAAGAGAAATAATTTTGTGAGGGAGGAGCATTAATAAGAGTTGGGAGTTGGAGCAATGGAAGGAGAGAAGGTAAAGTTTACCTCATGAGTAAAGAAAGGGAATGAAGAGTGTCAGAAGGGAAGTGTATAATATTAGGTTTAAACAGAAATTAAACTAGTATAAAAGAAAACAAAGTGAGAGAGAAAGAAAAAGGAAGAAAATATTAAATAATTAATAAAAATATAGGAGCCAAATTGGAGAGAAAGATCCACTGGAGAACTGTCAACAACAAATAAGCCAAAATTAATATAGTTGGTATAGGAATAAGAGGGGAAATAAGAAACAAAGAAAAGTGCAAGAGGTGTTTAAAGGAATGGAAAGTGATTTTATAATGATAAAGGGAGAGAGAATACTCACAATGAGGAACAAAAACTAGACTGAGGGAAAAATGAAAATTTGGGATGTAAAGGAAAACCAAAAAAAGGAGAATAAAGAAAAATAAAAGGGCAGAATGAAAGAGAAATAAAAGAAAAACAAAAAAGGAAAAAAACAGGGTAAGATGGCATAATTAAAATTTAAGTGAAGAAAAAGAAAAGATGGGAGAGGTTTCCAGTAAAATTTGTTATTCGAAATACAGAATTAAATGAAGCTCTAGAGATAACCTTGTAAAAACAATGCAACAACAACCACCCTACCCACAACCAACTAGCAAAGTTTGTTACAGGTGTAGAGAGAACATGGGTATTTTAGTAGCTGGGCAAAAGGATGTGAAATGACCCTTGACAAGAGAATTCATTTTGAGTGTCTGGACAGGGGAGAAATAGTGAGAGTGTGGAATGGAAACAAGTTGTAGATAGAGAGAAAACCAAATTTGAAATGAGAATATTGCAAGGAAAGGGGAAAGTAAGATGGGCTAAGGGAAGAGAGGGGCAAAATATGTGAATTAAAATGCACTATAGTATAAAATCTAGTGACATTATATACAAAGTTGCTGAATAAGAAATGAATGTTATAAAGCTATGCAGGAAAGAAAACATGGCAAATCATGAAGAAGACCACAGTGGCTTTGTATTGATAGCCTTTCGTATTTACCACTATTTTTTTCTTTCTGGGTCTGCCTCTGGTGATGTCAGATGTTGACCCCACCTGACCTTAGGCAACCTGTTCAATACTTTCAGTGAATTGCTGTCACTGACTGTCTTCTTGAATTGTTAATATGGTCCCTCTGCACTCAGCAGTCTGGTTTAAGCACCATAGGGCTGGCGGAATCCCTCCTGGGGTGGGTGCTATTGTTTCCTCTCAGGCTGCTGCTGCTTGGAGGGGAGTGGTTTGCCTGAGCAGGATGGTTGTTGTGTATGGGGGTTGGCTCAGCATCAGATCCCAGATCCTAGTGGCTACTTTCTCATTTCTCTCCCCAAAGCCTCCATTCCCAGAGTCTCTTCAAGTCTCTCTAGTTCACTCTGCTCCACCTTTTCCAGGGATCTACTGTCTCTGGCTGTCTCCTTTGGTTGTTTATCTGGTCAACTCAGCAGTCAGGCTTAAGCACCAAAGGGCCAGGGCAGAGACCCTCCTGGGGTCAGAGCTATTGTATCCACTCAGGCTACTGCCACTCAGAGGGGAGTGGTCTGCCTGAGCATAAAGGCTGCTGCCTCTTGGGAGGATGACTCAACACCAGCATCCCTGCAGCTCCTCTCTCAGTTCTCTCCCCAAGGCTTCTGTCCCCAGTTTCTCAGGTTTCTTCAGGCCACCCTGCCCCTACCTTTGCCTGAGCCCTCGGTTAGTAGCCGCGAATGAAAATTTATATGTTGGCCCTTTTAAACAGCCCTTGTGTCTCCAACTGACCATGACTGGCAGAGAGCAGTCCTGCTGCATTTTCACTGGTTGTTATCACTATACATTTGGGGGTCTGGTGTTCTAGGCTGGGAATCCTAGCTTAGGGTTTAGACCCCAGTCTTCTTCAGGGTATCCAATTGGCCGCTTAATTATCCCACCGGTGCTGCCACCTGTGGGCACCGAGTCAGCCTTAATGAGTCTCCACCACACTCCTTAACAGACTGGTACTGCAGAAGCTTGTTCTGTATGTCCAAAGTTACGTGCTGTTGCTCAGTTGTTTGTTCTGGGTAGTTTCTCCACAATTGAGTTGTAATTCCACACTAGTCCTGGGAAGAGGTCAGTGTTACTTCCATTCACTTCTTCACCATCTTCCTTCTCCATAACCAGTCTTTTGAGCTCTGCATCTGTAGATTGCTTTATCTCCATTTTATTTAGTTCTTTTTCTGGAGTTCTGTTCTGTTCTTCCATTGGGGCCCTATTTCTTTGTTTCCTCATTTGGTCAGGCTCCTTGTGTTTGTTTCTATGTAGTAGGTAGAACTGCTTTGAGTCCCTGTCTTAGTAGCACAGACTATTGTAGAAAAGCACACCAGTAAGTTAGATGGGCTACAGCCTTAGGTATTCATCAGGGTTGGGCAACCCACGTGAAACAAGTTGATGGAGTTTCCCATATGGTGTGGCCTACTCTGTGGCTCTGTGTGGGGTTGGGCTCAGGAAGGGGACTGCTGCCTGGCCTCTGGAGTTTTGCCTGGGAGGAAGCTGTCCTCCAGCACTTGCCCTACTGCCCGACACTGATTTCTCCCTCTGTGCCTCTGGTGCCCTATCAGCTGCTGCTCCAGCACTAGAGCCCAGAGGGAGTGAGTCTGTGTAGTAAGTCCATTGCAGATCCTTTAAGAGGAGATGCCTGAGAATCCTGCAGTTTATTCTACTGCCTCAACCCCTACTGGTTTTTACAGATAGAAATGATGGGGATTTATCTTCCTGGCAGTGGAACCCTGGGCTTTGTGGCCTGGTGTGGGGCTGGGATTCCTCACTCCTGAGGTGTCCTTCCTGATTTTTATCTACCACATGTGGGTGTGGGATCGCCTATTCCACATCTCTACCTCTCTGTGCAGTTCTGCTTCTCCACCCCTCCTACTATTACCGAACAAGAGGTCCGAGGAAGGGGCAATACAGTATTTGGCCCACCTAGGGATGCCCAAAACTGCTATACAACAGGGCCCCCTCCCAAGGACAAAATACTGATATCTACTGGGCTCTTCTGTCCGCCGCCAATTGGAAAGACATCTCTCAATGCCAGAGATTTGTGAAAAGGAAACAAAATGTTTATTTAATGCTATTCAGGTCTAATGCCTCCACTAAAATATCAAAGTCCTTTAGGGTATACACCTACACACACAGCGCTCCCTTCTCCCACTGTCCCAACTCCGGGTACTATAAATCAGGAAAAGAGCACACACATCTGTGTTGCAGGCCGCTGGCACCGTCAGCTGTGTCACCATGCAGGCAGGATCTCTCTCTAGTTAATCCAAAGTGGTACCCTCTCATGGTCCCCTGGCAAGAGTCCTTTGTACCCAGTTCCACTCAATGTCTCTCCTGCTTTCCAGGCCCCGCAGCCAAAGGGGGCACCCCAAAGCTATGTGGGCCTCTTCTACCAAAGCTGCAGGGTTTCTCACTCCACCAAAAGCATGTGGCTTTCTAGTTCACCTGGCTGCAGGGACCTCCATTCTGGCAAAGCTGCATGGTTTTCTCTTTCATTTGTGCAGTTATTGCCTCATGTCCTGGAGCCAGTCTTTTCCAAGCTCTCACACAGGCCTCCTCACTCTCAGGAGTGCAGCCCCTCGTTACATCCTGAGTCCAAGCCCTTCTCCCTTCTTCCTGGCCTCCAAACTTGGCCACAGCTATTTAACATATCTATGAAACCAGTTAAAGGGTATAGATATGTTAAATAATCATTCCAGAGGTTAGCTGCAAAACTGTTGCTATGCAAAATAGCTCTCAGTGGCCCTGCTCCATTCGTCCCTTCCCCCTGTGGGGGGCGGGGCAGTGAGGACATCTTATATGTCTCTCCAATATTCCTATACACTTTGAATTCTGGACACCATTCCAAATCTTTTTTTGGGCCCCCCCCCTTGGCTGCACCCTGTATCACTACCTGCCTGGATGAATGTGACTTCCCCATTTCCTTGGTTGTTGGACTTCCATACAGCTCAATTTTCTTATGGTTCTTGGTGATAGTTGTTTTGTAGTTTAGTTGCAGTTTTTACTGTGGTTGTACAAAGAGGAAACCATGTTCACCTACACCTCTCTCTTGACCAGAAGTTCTCCAAATTTTTAAATAAATAAATAAATTCTAAATGAATCCTCATAGATATATTAGTAACAGTAAAATTTGGGACATTCTACCAGCAATGTCTTTTTTAAAGTATCTCAGATAGATAGATAGATATCATATGATATCTATCATATGATCTCTCAGATGATAGATAGATATCATATCTATCTATCTATATATCTATATATAATGTTATTGTCATGGTACTATGAACTATAAATTTGTACTTCCTTCCTTTCACATGCAGTACAAGTATTAAGTACTCGCTCCCAGGAGAGACAGATGGCACAAGACTCTTGGTCGTCTGTGATGTTGCCCTCGGGAAGTGCATGGACTTACATAAGAAAGACTTTTCCTTAACAGAAGCACCACCAGGTCATGACAGTGTCCATGGGGTCCGTAAAACAGCCACCAACAGCACGGACTTTGAGGTATTTATATTAAGAAACAGGCAGAGAGGCTGCTGTTTTTATTAAATATGCTAACATTTAAGTAATTATTGTATATCTGGTATCTGAATTCAATATTTTCATACTCAATAATTAGCAAACATGAAACTCTACTTTTATGAAAACATGTCAATAAAGGTTTTTTTCACTTATTTCTGTTTGCTCTAGGATGATGAATTTGTTGTATATAAAACCAGTCAAGTTAAAATGAAATATATTATTAAATTTTGTATACCTGGAGATGAAGTAAAGGACTTTCATCCTTGTAACAATACTGAATTAGAGGAACACACACCTGAGATTTCAAATTTTTCAAAGGTTGAAGGTAAGAGTATTTTGTTTTAAATCCTTACCCGAGGATATGTTTATTGATTTTAGAGAAAGAGGAAGGTGGTGAGAGAGAGAGAGAAACATCAGTGTGAGAGAAGCATTAATCTGTTTCCTTCCATTTATTATTATAATAACTGGGGATGGAACCCACAACTTGGGTATGTGCCATGAGTGGGAATTGAACCCACAACCTTTCAATCTATGGGATGACACTTCAACCAACCAAGCCACCCAGCCAGGGCAACAATTTTCTTGAAAGCTGTTAAACATGATATTTATAGAACTCAATATTATATTTCCAGTGGAATTTATATTCATGTTTGGTAACCTTATGTATGACTGCAGATATAAATATTTTATTTCTTTTTATATTCTGTGAAAATAAAAACCAGAATGCTTGAGAGAGTTTCAGTGGTCTCAAAATTACTACTTCACTAATACACCAAAGCTGAACTCATCCACTCAGGTTAGCCACAAAACCCCAGGGAAATATTTAAGATGTCATTGTGCAAAAAGTGTAGTATGGCTGGTAGGACAGACAGAAGACACCGCTTTAGAATCAGGAAACCTGGGTTCAGGATTCTAGACTGTGGGATCTGTGACAAATTACATAAGGTCTCCAGGTGTTGACTTCTCTCTACGGGAAATGAGACCAATATCCACACCATAGTGCTACTATAAGGACTGCATGGGAGAAGTGAAGGCACCCCCAAAATTGTAAAGTGTAGCTTCTATATTAGTCATACAAATAAATGAGGGGATGATAGCTTCTTAGGAAATCATAAGTCTGAACTTCTGTAATGTTCATTAATAGCTTGTAAAAACATACAAACATTTTTAACTGTGGTCAAAGTATTTTTTATCAGAAATGTATGAGTTCATATATGTTCAAGAAGAATACTCCCATTTTTTCTTGGGGGGGTCATATTTATACCTCTAACCTTATCTGTATTTTTGTATACCATCCAGTAAAGTTCATGAACATTTTTTCAATACGATGTATTAGGAGTTTGACTTAGTTTTCCTTGGATCAAAAGTCTAGGGAATCTCATATTTCTCCAGTATGCTTTTATAGTACAATAAATAATAGTGACTTACCAGTTCAAAATTGCAAGCCAGGACATGCAAATATGTAGAGTCAGCCTAAGCTACTCTTATTCAGATATTCTTAAGACCTTTGTGTACTTGTATGTATGCTTAAACATATGCCTTTCAGGTAGTAGTATGAGTCTGGGTTTTCAAGATGACCTCTCAGCATCTGTAGATTTAAAAGGCAGAGTGTCTGTTGACAGTGTTGCCTCCATTCTTTTCATGTGGAGTCACTGACTTTTCAAAATTGACTACTGAATATCATAATCCATTTCTCCTAAGGAGGAGAAGGATTAAAGATCAAGATAACAAAAATAGAGAGCTCAAGGGATGGTTTTAAAAGCTAATAACATTAATATTTTTAATGTATAGATTACCAGTTACCAGACACTGAACCTTTTAGCAGCATCAAGGCTGGTCTCCAGGACACCTGTGGAAATTCAGTTCCGCTTGAGGACCTGCATGTCAAGGGGAAAATAATAGACTTTGTAGCCCAGGTGAGCTCATTGTGGTTTTATGATACTTAAACCAAATGGATGTCAGTCATAAAGGAGTGCTGGATTACAGTAGCATGAACTCAACAGAACAGGTACATTTCTAAAATTTGTTTACTCATTGAGCACCTACTACTACATGCTGGGGACTGTTCCAAGCTCTGGGCATACAGCAACCAACAGTATAAAAACTGTGCCCTCACAGAACATGCATTGCATTGGGGAACCAGGCAACAAACATGATCAATAAATGAAATACACGCCATATTAAATGGTGGTAGGTGCTAAAGACAAAAATCAAGGCAGGAAGGTATGGGAGCTGCACAGGTTGGAAGGGTATCAACTTAGAAATGGGATGTCCAAGGAAAGCCTAACTGAGAAGGTGACCCCCAGATACAGATGTGTAGGAAGTGAGGGACTAAACCATGTGGACAGAGGAAGCAGTACATACAGAGGTCCTGTGGCGGGAGCAAGCCTGATGTAGTTAAGGAACACAAAGGAATTCACTATGGCTAGAGCACAGTGGAAAAAGAAAGTGTGATGGGAGATTGGGTTAGAGAAGTGGGTTGTGGGGAGGGAGCTCACATCAGGACACAGGATGTACTGTCCTTAACTCTGAGTAAAATGGAAACCTTTCAAATATGTTTGGCAGAGGAAGGACATGACTGGGATCATGCTGGCCACTGTGTTGACAACAGACTGAAGAGGACTGGTTAGAGACACCATATGTCAAGTTCTCTAGAAAACAGATTCTAGATGAAAATTTGTTTTAAGAAAGGTTGTTGGGAAGTACTTTCTGGAGTGAAACCTATGTGAGAGTGCAGGAGGAAGGACCTGGCAGAGGAGACATGGACTGTAATATGGGCATATTAGAGTCCTCAGTCTCTGAGGGAGCCCTGAGGCTGGCCTTTCAGGGATGTTCTGAAATGAGGCAAGGAGGGGTCAGGCCTTGTCCCCCAGAGGGATTAGTCATTGCATGTGGCTGCCCCTGGGGGCAGGATCATAACCCTAAGGCAGTTCATCTTTGGCAGAGGACATTGACTGGGGACGGACACAGCAAGTGACACTTCCTGCAGCCTTGGTCCTGAACCGGACAGCTGGGGGCATGCCACAGTATCAAATATAGGTGACTATGAGTAATTCAGTTAAGGGTGATGGTGACGTGGACCAAAATGGTAGTAGTGGGGTGGTAAGAAGTGATTGGGTCATCAAAGGATTGAAGGTAGAACCAGTGAGATTTGCTGATGGATATGGAACATGAAAGACATGTGTTGAAGATGACATTACATGCACATAGATTGGGGAGATGTGGTGGTAGAGCTCTGAAAGTGCTCAATTTTCCAAAACTATTTGTTTTCTAAGAGTTGCCCTCACCATTGGCTTCATTAACTTATTCTAACACTAATGATTGCATTGAACAACTCTGAAGACCTCTTAGGAAAATAAGAACACCTGAGTCCAGTGTTGTGGCATTGCTGTCCTTTCAGAAGAAAAGCAAGTTAAATTTGGTGATTGCCTTAATGTGGGAAAATGAAGTGTAGTGGGGTGGGCAAGAGCATGCTGCCCCTGTATATACCAGTTTGCATCTATTTGACCTCTACACCCAGCCCCACTCTGATCCTTATTCGCATCAGATGAGGATACTGATGCTCAGATATATAAAATGATACACTAAAGCACAAATTTGGACTGATTCTAAGGTCCAGGTTATATTTTTTCCTAAGGTGTAAACAACCGATTATTATTTAAACGTTGGTTCATGTGTTTTACATTTAACAGGAATCAAAGCATTACATGGAAAGATTGAGTTCTAAGGTATAACTTAGAACAGTCACAATTGTTTGAAAGAGATTGGGTGGGAAAGAGTGAAAAGATACTCAGTAAAAATGAGATGGTAGCAACCCAGTCCGCCCCACCCCGCCCCACTCCACTGCACCCCCATGTCTCCCCTAAGGCAGAACCCTGTCATCAGCCTGAATTTCTTCTGAAGACCAGGTTCTTAACCACTGTGCTGTAATGCAGGCAGGTATGGACTGTTGAAAAAGCAAAGGATTTGAAGTTTGGAAGGCTTAGCTCTGAGTCCTTGCTCATTCTTTTCTAGCACTGTGACCTTAGGGTAGTTATTTAACTATTTTGTGCCTCAGTTTCTTCATGTATAAAATGGAAATAATAATATCTGCCAGTCAGTGTTGTGACTATAAGATACAAGAACCCAGGGCATTTTTTCATATACAATAGATGCAAAACAAATGAGGACTTTGTTATGAGAAGAGGCTTGTGTACTCCATGTATTACTTCGGATTAGACACCTGGTACCATCTGATATTTCAAACCTCAAGGCTTTTTTCTTTGGAAACTTTGCCCAGAAATTACCTCATGACTTAACAGTAGCTTTTTCACTAGCTTTAAAAAAAATTTTTTGTGTGAGCAAATTGTAATTTCTCATGTCTCCAAAACTGCTAACCAGACTGAAGGTATACCTAACATCATAAAACATTTCTTTCCAAGTACTGTACTGACCACCCAAACAACTGCGATGATCACCTGTCAGCTCTTTCATTTGTTTTCACTATAACTCACTTGGAGCCTACCAAAAATATACCATACTTTCAAATGTTTTATCAGAATCCTTATATGCCTGAGACTTCAGGTGTTCGTCATGAAGTAGTGATAATATAAGTATGTCTGCCAAAATTCTATATGCTATTAAAGAAGCTCATAAGTAATAGAGAATAAGACAGCTTCTGTGAGCAAGGTAATTCTATTTAATAGAAAATTTATAATTTATAAAATGATTTTTAAAAATATTGTGACACATATAAACGCACATACAAATGCATGCACACATGCATACATATGATATACCGGTAAGCCAAATTCTTTCTCTATCACATTTTTCTTGTCTTTTTTTCTTTTTAATATATTTTATTGATTATGCCATTACAGTTGTCCCATTCCCCCCCCTCATTCCCCTCCACCCTGCACACCCTCTCCCCCACCATTCCCCCCCTTTAGTTTATGTCCATGTGTCACAAGTTCTTTAGATTCTATATTTCCCATACTATTCTTGCCCTCCCCCCTATCTATTTTCTACCTACTGTCTATGCTACTCATTCTCTATACCTTCTCCCCCCTTCTCCTCCTCCCACTCCCCTGTTGCTAACCCTCCTTGAGATCTTCATTTCTATGTGTCCACTCCTGATCTAGCTGTCCTCTTAGTTTGCTTTTGTTTTAGGTGTGGTTGTTAATATCTGTGAGTTTGCTGTCCTTTTCACTGTTCATCTTTTTTATCTTCTTTTTCTTAGATAAGTTTCTTTAACATTTCATATAATAAGGACTTGGTGATGATGATGAACTCCTTGAATTTGACCTTATCTGAGAAGCACTTTATCTGCCCTTCCATTCTAAATGAAAGCTTTGCTTGCTGGATAGAGCAATCTTGGTTGTAGGTCTTTGGATTTCATGACTTGGAATACTTCTTTCCAGCCCCTTCTTGCCTGTAAGGTCCCTTTTGAGAAATCCACTGACAGTCTGATGGGAACTCCTTTGTAGGTGATTGTCCCCTTATTTCTTGCTGCTTCTAGAATTCTCTCCTTCATTTTAATCTTGGGTAATGTAATTACAATGTGCCTTGGTGTGTTCTTCCTTGGGTCCAGCTTCTATGGGACTCTCTGAGCTTCCTGGACTTCCTGGAAGTCTATTTCCTTTGCCAGATTGGGGAAGTTCTCCTTCATTATTTTTCCAAATGAGTTTTCAATTTTTTGCTCTTCCTCTTTTCTTTTGGCACCCCTATGATTCAGATGTTGGAATGTTTAAAGTTGTCCCAGAGGTTCCTAAGCCTCTCCTCACTTTTTTGAATTCGTGTTTCTTCGTTCTGTTTTGGTTGAATGTTTATTTCTTCCTTCTATTTCAAATCATTGATTTCAGTCCTGGTTTCCTTCACTTCACTGCCAGTTCCCTTTATTTCGCCTTGCATAGCCCTCACTTCTCCCTCTATTTCGTGTTGTACTCAATCATTTCTATGAACTTCCTGATTACCAGTGTTTCAATCATTTCTCTGAACATCCTGATTACCAGTGTTTTAAACTCTGCATCTGGTAGGTTGGCTATCTCATCATCACTTAGTTCTTTTTCTGGAGTTTTGATTTGTTCTTTTATTTGGGCCATATATATATATATATATATATATATATATATATATATATATTTTTTTTTTGTCTGGGCACACTTGTTATGTTGTATGGGGTGGAGCCTTAGATATTTGCCAGGGTGAGGCAACCCACGTTGCTGCATTGTGGTGCTGTATGTGGGAGAAGGGTCAGAGAGGAAACAACGCTGCTTGCTGAGCTCTGGGCCAGCTTTCAGTCACTTCCCCTGCTACCCACAAGCAAATTGGGCCCTTCTGGTGCTGATTCCCATGTGGGTGAGTTTGTGTACATTCTAGTACCCTGTGGTCTCTCCAATGAACTCTCCTGTGAGACTAGGAGTTTTTCCTGCCACCACAACCCCTACAGTTTTTTCCAGTCAGAGGTTCTGAGTTTTGAGGCTTTATTTCCCTGCACTGGAAGCCTGGGTTGTGTGGTCTCTCTCACTCCCCAGTTGTTCCTCCCACCTTATCCACATGGGAAGTGGGACCACCTAGTCCACCAGGTGCTGCCTCGCCTGCTACCTTGCCACATATCTTCTCCGTCCCTCCTACCAGTCCGGATGAATGTTTCTTCTTTAACTCCTTGTTTGTCAGACGTCTGTACGTTCAGTTTTCTGACAGCTCTGGTTGCTTTTTGTTTTTAAATTTGTTGTCCTTCTTTTGGTTGTACAGTGAAGCAAAACATATTTACCTACATCTCCATCTTGGCTGGAAGAGTGGTCTTCACTAGCTTTTAATGAGACAACTAGCCTACAGGTTGACTTTGCATCTTCAGGCAGAAGCCCAGCAGCAGAGAGCCTATATATTCAGTGGTTCACGCATTTGTCCCTTCTTGGAATGAGTTCAAAGTTTTTAGCCTAGTTATATAATAGTTTTGCCTGAAGGAGGAAAATCAAGGTGTCAAAAATTTTTACAGTATAGCTCTGACTGGGTGGGTCAGTGGATTGGGCCTCACCCCCCTGACAGAAAAGTCTCAGGTTGGTTCCCAGTCAGGCGCAGGTTCCCAGCAGGGGCGTGCAATAGTCAACTGATTGATGTTTCTTTCACACACTGAAGTTTCTCTACTTCTCTTTCTCCACCCCCTTCCCCTCTGTCTAAAAATAAATAAATAAAATCTTTTAAAAATTAAAAAAAAATTGGACAGTATATTAGTTCTAAGGCAAGGCTGTCAAACTCATTTTCGCCAGGGGCCACATAAGCCTCATGGTTGCCTTCAAAGGTCTGAAATAATTTTAGGACTGTATAAATGTAACTACTCCTTAACTGTTAAAGAGTTGAAATTACATTTGGCTTTTTGAAGGTAACCAAGAAGCTCATGTGACCCCTCATGAAAATGAGGTTGACACCCATGTTCTAAGTCCCAGTAAAAATACTGTTTTTTAATCCTTACCCAAGGGAATGCTTTTTAAATTTTTTATTTGTTTGTCTGTTTGTTTATTATTTTTAGAGAGAGGGGGAAAGGAAGGAAGAGAAACAGTGATTGGTTGCCTCTTATAAATACCCTGACTGGGAACCAAACTTGCACCCTAGGCATGTGCCCTGACCTGGGAATTGAACTGCTGACCTTTAGATTTATAGGACAACACTCCAACCAACTGAGCCACACCAGTCAGGGCCTAATAAGATTACTTTTATCATTGTTATCTAAAATTACTTACTTTTTGAGTGCCAGTTGTGCAAATAAATATGCATAATAGTTTTCGATCATAGTTGTTCTGCAAATGGTTGTTCCATATGGTTTCATCAAGTTTACGGATGTTTTTTCTTCTTCAGGTTACTGTTTTTCAGACATACACAAATCAGAGTAATGTACCCATTGAGGCAAAATATATTTTTCCTTTGGATGATAAGGCAGCTGTGTGTGGTTTTGAAGCATTCATCAATGGGAAGCACATAGTGGGAGAGGTAAGGTGAGAAAATACATTGTGACTGCTCTCTGGTTCTAAAGTCAGTTTCTCATTTACCTGAATCTTCATTATTTCCATCCCTACAGTACGGGATTGAGTAGCAGCCTTATCATAAAATGAAATTATTCTTTGAATAATGAACCACTTATACATTTAGCCTCATTCACCCATCTTCCCTGATTACCTAGTTTCTATTCCTACCTGTTCATTCTTCATTGGACAGTGCCTTGCAAATCCAGCACTTAAAAAAAAAAGAGTGACTTCAGTACTGAAAATTTAAGAGAGGCATGTTGGGAAATTAGTGAAGCCCTGATACAGTTTTGCAAAAAACTGATCCTCTGTATCCTGCTATAAAATTTCAAACTGGGCAGTACCCTCAGTGGTCTCCTGGATCTGTCTCCAGCTTCAACAGTGTTTATACAGAACAGACCCAAGGATGCCCCTTCTTCCAAGTCTCTGACCACCCTCCAACTGCATTTCCAATCACCACTTCTGGAACCACCTCAGCCATCCCCAGCCCCCAAGACCAGCCAGCACTGTTTTTTACCTTAACTCCTTATTACTAAGCAACCATGAGCTCTTAAATTCATCAGAATTATTCCACTGAGGTGGGGATGCCATCAATCGCCTGCTTAACCTGCATGTGCAGACCTCCTATACCTACTTCTTTCTGGGCTTCTATTTCCACTATGATGAAGTGGCTCTGGAGGGTGTGGACCACTTCTTCCGTGAGTTGGCCAAGCAGAAGCATGAGGGAGCCGAGAGTCTCTTGAAGTTGCAAAACCAGCTTGGCTGCAGTCTCTTCCAAGACATGCCGAACCCTTCCCAAGATGAGTGGGGCGACACTCAGGATGCCATGGAAGCCACCGTGGCCTTGGAGAAAAACCTGAACCAGGTCCTTTAGATCTGCATGTCCTGGGTTCTACCTACATAGACTGTCATTTCTGTGACTTCCTGGATGAGGAGGTGAAACTCATGAAGAAGATGGGGACCATCTGACTAACTTCTGCAGGCTTCTTGACCTGCAGGCTTGGCTGGGCAAGTGTCTCTTTCAATGACTCACCCTCAATCACAGCTAGGAGCCTTTGGAGCTCAGAAACCTTTGAGGGGCCTCTCTGAATCCCCCTGGTGTCTGGCTTTTGCCTGAGCCTCTCCCTGAAACCACTAGGAATCCTTTTAACCACCTTGGAACACTTTCTCATACATGGGACAGATGCAAACAATAAAGCTTTTTGCAAGAAAAAAAATGTCAAACTGAAGCAAAAGCTGTTGTTCTAACTTTTTAAGAAAAAAATGTAACAAGAGAAGTAACCGTCGATTCATTCTTTGTTTATTCTAAGGATTAGCTCACAGTTGCAATAATAACTTGCATTTCATTAAATTTAAGATAGCTCAGTTTAGTATTGTTTTGTTCAATGTAAAGTCTTAAATTTTTTTTTACTATTGACTGAAATATTTTGATCCTAACTTAAAGAGAATTTTGTATAGTTGGCCTTTTCTGATTCAAATTCTTATTAGATAAAAATGGTCAATGCTGATCATATTATATATTTCCATTCATCTTAGACTCTTAATTGTCTCTTTTTGCATAGGTTTTAATGATGAAGTTTTTCATAGTAAAGTCTGAAATCACTATTCATATTGTGACTGGTATAAAATCATCTTTTCCAGATCAAAGAGAAGGATGCTGCCCATCAAGAATACCGAGAAGCCATCAGTCAAGGCCATGGTGCTTACCTGATGGACCAGGATGTACCCGTAAGACTGGACATTTCATCCATTAGTCTATCACACCAGAAAGAAAGGGACAAGGACTTGGAACATAATCTGAAGTATCAAATTCATACTAGGAACTAGAATAATTTAAATTATTTTGACCCTAGACTTTTACTTGCTGTTAGTAAGGGGAGGTCAAGCTGGTTAGACCCATTGGACTTATCTAAATAATGTGACCAAACAAATAAGAGACATTTCTCTCACTGGGAACTGAGTTTCCCAGAAGTGACAAAAAAACAAACATTTGGAATATAGTTTTCCTCTTCTGATAAAAGAGTGTAGTATATTTACATATTTCCTAGAACTAAACTCACTTACTAATTTATTCCATTTTCACGAAATCATAATACAGGAAGGCATTTCTTCAGGGTCTTGAAATCTGTCCATGTTCTCTTCTTTTCTGATTTGCTTTCATAGGAATTAAATGTGGAGAATCTGGACGATGGAGCAAGTATTATGTCCACTGGGTTTCTCTTCTTAAGCACAAGGTGTTTTAAATGTGCCTTTGGCAGATACTAGCTTTCATGAAGTCAGTTTCTAACTAGTATCTCTAGTGTAGATATTTAGTTGTTTTTAAAGATAGGCCATAGGTTTCAGGTGTCACCTCTGAGGAGGACACATTGTTGTAGTATTGTGAACATTTGATGTTTGGAAGGGAGAGTTATTAAGGGTAATATAGAATTAAGTGATAAATGATTACTTTTGATATCTAAGATATCCATTTGCAGAGTTGGGGGTCAGCAAGGAAGAGGTCATTGTTAACCAGTTTTAGTCCCCCTTGCTGAAGTGTATGTTTAAAAAAAAAATCTAGCTTCATTTGACAGGCTGCCACTGAACAGTGTGGGCTTATTTTCATACATGAATTGGTCTGCGTGTTTTTTCCTTGATACTAACACATTTCCCTAGGAATATGACCCACAAGAAAAAACTTTTCCCAAAGGACATTACTAATGGGTAAAGCCTGGTCAGAACCATTGCTAACCCAAACCTTTGAGTGCCCTAGAATGTATTTTGCCATCCAGTGACTATGATGTTCACATTCTATATTATATTAACAACATAATATGTAATATTTGTGTAACTAGTATATATTATATTTATATGCTTATTGTAATATTAATGACATAATAAATAACATATAAATGTTATATATTATTATGCAGTCGACCCTTGAACACACAGTGAACTGCACAGGTCCACTTATATGTGGATTTTTAAAAAATAAATATATTGGAAACCTTTTTAGAGGCTTGTAACAATTTGAAAAACTCATAGATGAACCATGTAGTGTAGAAATATAGAAAAATAAGAAATTAAGGAAAATTAACTAAAATAAGCATATCATAAATGCATAACGTATATGTTTTCAGTTTTTTGTTCTTCCTCTTCTTCTTCTGGCATCCCTGTGATTCAGATGTTGAAATGTTTGAAGTTGTCCCAGAGGTTCCTAAGTCTCTTCTCATTTTTTTGAATTCTCGTTTCTTTATTCTGTTTTGGTTGAATGTTTATTTCTTCCTTCTGGTTCAAACTGTTAAATTTGAGATCGGTTTCCTTCCCTTCACTGTTGGTTCCCTCTTATTTTCCTTTCACTTTGCGTAGCCTTCACTTCTTCCTCTATTTTGTGACCATACTCAACCATTTCTGTGAGCATCCTGATTACCAGTGTTTTGAACTCTGCATCTGGTAGGTTGGCTATCTCTTTATTGCTTAGTTATCTTCTTGGAGCTTTGATCTGTTCTTTCATTTTGGCCATATTTATGTCTCCATGTTCTTCTTATGTTGTAAGGGGTGGAGCCTTACCTGTTTACCAGGGCAGGGCAAGCCACATTGCTCTGTTCTGGTGCTGCATGTTTGGGAGGCATCTGAGAGGAAACAATGCTGCTTGCTCAGCTCTGGGCTGGCTTCAGTCACCTCTCCCGCTATCCACAAGCAAATTCCTGGGTGGGTGAGTTTGTGTACTTTCTAGGACCCTCTGGATCTCTCCAACAAACTCCTTTGAGGCTGGGAGTTTCTCTTGCTGCTGCAACTCCTACAGGTTTTTACACCCAGAGGTTTTGAGGTTTTATTTCCCTGAGCTAGAACCCTGGATTGTGCAGTCTGTCTCGCTTCCCAGTTGCTCCTTCCAGTTTCTGCATACAAATGTGGGACTGCCTGGTCCTGCAGCCAGTCCTCCAGCCAGTCCTCCAGCCGTTGCCTTGCCTCTCGTCCTCAGCCTGTCTATGCCCCTCCAGCCAGTCTGCATGAATGTTTCTTCTTTAATTCCTTGGTTGTCCAATATCCATACAGTTCAATTTTCTGACAGTTCTGGTTATTTTTGGTTTTTAAATTTGTTGTTGTTCTTCTTTTGGTTTTTCGAGGAGACAAAGTGTATCTGCCTATGTCTTAGCGAAGACATCTTGGCCAAGAGTCTGGACTTTTTTTTTTTTTAAGACTTTTATTTATTTATATTTAAGGAGAGGGGAATGGAGAGGGGAAATGAGGGACGGAAACATTAATGTGTGGTTGCCTCTGGTGCATCCCTTATTGGGGACCTGGCCCACAAATTCAGGCTTGTCCCTAAGCTTACTAGGAATCTAAACGGCAACCCTTTGGTTTGCCGGCTGGCCCTCACTCCACTTAGCCACACCAGCCAGGACATATGTCAATTTTTGACTATGTGAGAGTGCAGTGCCTCCAATCACAACATTGCTCAGGACTGTTCACTGGTCAACTGTATAAGTACTATTGTACTTTAAATATATTATATAAATACAGGGTGGGGCTAAAAGTAGGTTTATGGTTGTGAGTATGCAAAACAGAGTATATTCTTGTATTCTTATTTATGTATTATTGTTATTTTTATATGAACAGCTGTGAACCTACTTTTTCCCCATCCTGTATATATTATTTATTTGTTAGTCTTCTGATAGTTGAGAACAATTTACATATATAGCATTTTATATATATATTTTGTCATTTATTATATATGTATAAAAACATATGTAGCATTACATATGATATTGTATGTGATAATACAGTGATATACATTATATGTTATATATTCAGTCTTCCCAAGTATCATAAGGATATTATCTTATGTGTCTGTGATTTTGTAGGCCATCCAGTTTATTATAATGAAAGTGACATCTTTCGTCCATTTATATCCTGCACAGAAACAGCACCGCAACCCTACACAGTTACGTGGCAGTCTCTCAAATGAACCCCAGGCTTTTATATGCTGAAGAGCAAACAGTATGGTGGTTACTAGAGGGGAAGGGGGTGGGAGTTGGTAGAAAAGAGTAAAGGGGATCAAATATATGATGACAGAAGGAGGCTTAACTTTGAGTAGTGAGCATAAAATGCAATATACAGATGATGTGTTATAGAATTGTGCACCTGAAACCTATATAATCTTATTAACCAATGTCACCCCAATAAATTCAATAAATTTTTTAAGTTAGCACTATTGGTTATTTAATAATCATCTCTTCCTTGTTTATTCCTATCCTGCAAATGGATATCCTTGATGCTAAAAGTAATGATCTATCCCTTTAATCTCTTTAACCATTAATGTTATACATTCTTAATCTAAACGTGTTATATTCTTATGGCAGCATGGTCAAATAGAATGGAAGAAAGATATGGTTGGGAGGTTAAGAGGTTCTCTGTGTATCAAAAAAAATACATCTAGCTTCTCATTTTTCTACCCTAGCTAGTCATGAGATTGCCTCTTTATGCAGTGGTTATTAATACCCTAATAAAGAAAACAAAATACCTTTTTCTAAAAAATAAAGCGATAAGCTGACTGTAGGGGAAAAGAATGATGTGAGCGTCAAGCTCAGTGAGAGCCGCTCTGGCTCTACAGCCACTGGTGGAACTGGTGTTGGAGGCTGTGGAGGTCAGAAATTCCCCTGTGCTACAGAGAAGCAGTAGGAGGGCGGTGATCCCTGTGCAAAGCCCTGCACATAGGGCTCTGGTATAGAAAGCCCACTGGGTGATGCTTCCTGGTCAGGGCAGGGTCCTGCTGCCAAGGGCCTTTTGTCCCAGAGAACCCTGTAGATGTCACACTGTCCCCACCCCTGGAGAATGGCTCTACGAGTCTCCTTTAGCACCACCAGTGCTTGGCTTGTAGGCTGTATTCTTGTTTTCTGAGGAAGAAGATGGCAGGTTGAAATTCCAGTGGTTCATGCAATAGGATTAACTAGCATGGAATGGGTATGCATTTGAATCACAAAATAAGTAACATGTTTGTGTTTCAGGATGTTTTTACTGTAAGTGTTGGAAATTTACCCCCCAAAGCTAAGGTTCTTATCAAAATTACCTACATCACGGAACTCAGCATCCAAGGCACCGTAGCCATCTTCTTCATGCCGGCCACCGTTGCACCCTGGCAACAGGACAAAGCTTTGAATGAAAACATCCAGGTTCGTTTACTTTGGATAAGATTTTGAGAAATTTTGTGTGTGATCTATGCATAAGGAAGAAAAAGTATCCAAAATAATCCAACCTTTTTGACATAAAGTGAATGTTACTGACACATGCATTTAGACACATAAAATGTTTGTAAAATAAAAAGGATAAAGATAGATATGCTTAGTGGGCATATTTTTATTCTGTTTAGTCACTTTAAAAAGTTTGTGTATATGTTATATATTCATCACAAAGAATTCAAATCAGGCTAAAGAATGCAAATAAGCCAAAGAGGAAAATTTAAACCATCTTTAATTCCATCACCAGACAGAGTAACACAAAGGTACTGGTTAATGTTTTGGTATAGATTTATTCAGACTTCCTACTTTGTATGTCTTTATAAATTGTGTGTATATGTGTGTGTTTATATGGATAGATAGGTATGGATGTGTGTATACATACACATACACATATGTAGAGTTGGAAAGGTGATAAACTATCTTAATTATCAGTTACCTTTTCAAAGCTATTATCATTCCATGAACAAATGCTTAATGTCTTACTACTCCACAGTGAGACCAACTGTCTTATTGCTGCTATACATGGTGCCCTTGGTGACATTACATTCAGCTTAGGGTCTCATTGTAAAACTTGATCTTCATCTTGTACATTTATTTTTTTTAATAGGATACAGTAGAGAAGATTTGTATAAAAGAAATAGGAACAAAGCAAAGGTTAGTACTTAAAATATAAAACCTGACAATCATTCAATGGGCATTATAGCTTTTTTATGGCTTCAATTTTCACTTAAAATTATGTGAAACAGGCCCTGGCTGGTGTAGCTCCATGGATTGAGCACGGGCCTGCAAACCAAAGGATTGCAGTTCAATTCCCAGTCAGGGCACATACCTGGGTTGCAGCCAGTTCCCAGCAGGGGACGCACGAGAGGCAACCATACATTGACATTTCTCTCCCTCTCTCCTTCCCTTACCCTCTAAAGATAAATAAATAAAAAATTTTTATAATTATGTGAAACAATTATAGGTAGCTGTTTAATATTTAAGATATTGGACTAAGACAACTTCTTTTTCTTCGATTTTGGCAGCTTCTCTCTCAGTATGTCTATTGAAATGCCATATGTGATTGAATTCCTTTCTAGTGATACACATGAACTGAAAAAAAAGGTTAGTAAATCTTTGCTTTATTTCTTTTTTAAAATTATATTTTATTGATTATGCTATTACATATAGTTATCCCATTTCCCCATCTTCACTCCCCTCCCACCTGCATTCCCCCCTTCAGTTCATGCCCATGGGTTGTACCTATAAGTTCTTTAGCTTCTACCTTTCTTATACTGTTCTTAACCTCCCCCTGTCTATTTTCTACCTACCATTTATGCTACTTATTCTCTGTACCTTTTCCCCCTCTCTTCCCCTTCCCCCACCCTTGATAACCCTCCATGTGATCTCCATTTCTGTGGTTCTGTTCCTGTTCTAGTTGTTTGCTTCATTTACTTTTGTTTTTATTTTAGGTGTGGTTGTTAATGATTGTGAGTTTGCTGTCATTTTACTGTTCATATTTTTTATTTTCTTTTTCTTAGATAAATCCCTTTAACATTTCATATAATAAGGGCTTGGTGATGATGAACTTCTTTAACTTGACCTTATCTGAAAAGCACTTTATCTGCCCTACCATTCTAAAATGAAAGCTTTGCTGGATAGAGTAATCTTGGATATAGGTCCTTGCCTTTCATGACTTGGAATACCTCTTTCCAGGCCCTTCTTGCCTGTAAGGTCTCTTTTGAGATATCAGCTGACAGTCTGTTGGGAACTCCTTTGTAGGCCACTATCCCCTTATCTCTTGCTGCTTCTAGGATTCTCTCCTTCATTTGAATCTTGGGTAATGAATGTAATTATGATGTGCCTTGGTGTGTTCCTCCTTGGGTCCAACTTCTTCGGGACTCTGTGAGCTTCCTGGACTTCCTGGAGGTCTATTTGCTTTGCCAGATTGGGGAAGTTGTCCTTTATTATTTGTTCAAATACCTTTTCTACTTGTTGCTCTTCCTCTTCTCCTTCTGGTACCCCTATAATTCTGATGTTGGAATGTTTAAAGATGTCATAAAGATTCCTAAGCCTTTCCTCATTTTTTTGAATTCTTGTTCCTTCATTCTGTTCTTGTTGGATGCTTCTTTCTTCCTTCTGGCCCATACCATTGATTTGAGTCCCAGTTTCCTTCCCATCACTGTTGCTTCCCTGTACATTTTCCTTTATTTCACTTAGCATAGCCTTCATTTTTCATCTAATTTGTAACCAAATTCAACCTATTCTGTGAGCATCCTGATTACCAGTGTTTTGAACTGTGCATGTGATAGGTTTGCTATCTCCTTGTCACTTAGTTGTATTTTTTCTGGAGCTTTGATCTATTCTTTATTTGGGCCTTTTTTTTTTTTTTTTTTGTCTTGACGTACCTGTTACATAGTAAGGGGTGGAGCCTTAGATATTCCCCAGGGCAGGGCAACCGTGTTGCTGAGTTGTGATGCTGTCTGTGGGGAAGGGGTCTGAGAGGAAACAATGGCGCTTGCTCTGCTCTCTGCCAGCTTTCAGTCACTTCCTCTGCTTCCCACAGCAAATTGGGCCCTTCTGATGCTGAGTCCTGTGTGGGTGGTTCTCTCCAAGGAGCTCTCCTGTGAGGCTGGGAGTTTCTCTTGCTGCCTCAACCCCCACAGGTGTTATCAACCAGTGGTTTGAGGCTTTATTTTCTGGCCCTGGGGCCCTGGTTTGTGCAGTCTGTCCTGTTCTCCAGTTGTTTCTCCTGGAGAAACAGTGCATTTACTTGTGCACTAATGTGGGACTGCCCAGTCTGCAGTCTGCCGCTTTGCCGTCTGCCTGCTGCTGCCTTGCCAGCCAGCTGTAGCCTTGTATGCCCCGCTCTACAATCCACCACCTTGCTGGGTCCTCCAGCTCCCACCTTGCCCAGAGTCCTCTATGCCCCCAGCTGCCTGACTCCGCACCTCCTACCGGTCTGGATGAATGTGTGTCTTCTTTAACTCCTTCGTTGTCGGACTTCCCTACACTTCGGTTTTCTGTTAGTTCTGGTTGTTTTTAAATTGTTGTTGTCCTTCTTTTGGTTGTGTGAGAAGGTACAGTGTGTCTACCTATGCCTCCATCTTGGCCAGAAGTCAGCTTTATTTCTTAAGAGCTTTTATTTTAACATTAATTTATGTTATGGAAGAAATATGCACACGGTATAAAAAGTGAAATGATGGTACTGACAGCTTCTTACCAGCAGCAGCAGTGCCAAAACAGTGAACCTCTTTCATATTTTAGCTTTTTCCTGGTAGCCTCCAAAGTTTTAAATAAAATTTTTTTGCTGCTTGTTCTTGATTCAGCTGTCTCAGATATTTTCTTTTGACTTTCTGCTATGGTAGATGAAAATTTAACTCCCTTACCTCCTTCACTTTCCTTTCTCCCCACCATTCCAAAAGTTATATCACAATTTTGGGTTAAATCAAGTCACTGTTTACATTGTTATGACTGTGTAAATGATGTTTACTATTGAACGAAGAAATATATTATAATCACATTTTCTTTTTTTTAATCTCTTCTTATAGTTTTTCCTGGGAAAAACTGAGTTGTTCACTTGCTTAGACTTTTGGAACGGTTCTTCACATCTCCTCTAACACATAGGTTAAAACCCCTCCCCATATTATTTTCATACTGTTAAATGCTTTAGAGAATCCGTTAGTTTATGCCTTCCCACTCCAGACATGCCCGCCTCTGTCTCTCCAGTGTACCCATCTTGGCTGCTATGGGGCAACTGTTATCCAAGAACTTACTTTGACTCTTCTTTGTAGGGGTCTTATCTTTATCCTCTTTCATGTTTTGTTCTTTCCATTTGGCAGAGTACAACCTCATTTCCTTCCTAAGTAGGAGCGATGGGCAACAATGTCAGAAAATATCCATATTCCATGTGCTACTCTTGGTGAGGTGCTTAATTCTGGGTTAGAAATCATCCTCTCTCAGAATATTGAGAACTTGGTCTTATAAGTTCCCGCGTTACTTTTGAGAAGTTAAAGGATGTTTTATCTCCTATTCTTTGCCTTTAGTCTGTTAATTTTTTAAAATTCTTTAAGAATTTCAGATCTTGTTTTCATCCTAGCATTCTAAAATTTCATGACAATGTGATATTCATTTTGTGTAAATTATAGACTTGTGTTGTAGGAAATTTTATTTCATTTTTTAAGTTGGTCCTGTCTTTTTTTGCCTTTCTGCAATGCCTTTCAGTCAGGTGTACACTGGATTGAACCCCTTATTTTTTTCAATGTTTTCTCTCCTATTGGGCATTTATTTTATTATCCTTTTGTCTTTTTTTTCTGGGTATTTTTTTCAATTCTAAATTCTACCGAAATGTTTATTTTAGTTCTTATATATTTTTGTCTGTAAGAGCTCTTTTCTGTATTCCTCTTGTATTACATTTTGCATGCTTCATAGATGCATTATCATCTCTTTCATCTCTCTGGAAACATTTATAATACATTTTTTTATTCTATTCTCTGTGTTGAATTTTGAGTTCCTTCTGGTATTTTGTTTATTTGGTCTCTATATGTCATGTTAGAGGCTTTCCCTCAAATGTCTGGGTGATCTGTCTATGTTCATCTTCAACTGAGACACAGGAAAGCCCGTTAGATGCTCTGAGGGGAGCGGGGTAAGTGTACCAAAGGGCTGCACCAGAGGCTACCAGCAGCTGATTGGTAGTAAGTAGCATAGTGGTCTTTGGGCCACTTCTGTGGTTATTCAGAACACCTCCAGGATGTTCATAAAGTATAACAGAGAGGGCAACTGAGGGCCCTATATTTTGGGATGCTGTCACTTCAATCCCATTTGTAGCTCTGTGCTCCTATGCTCCATTAAGCCTGTGGTTCCAGAGACTGATTCCATTTGGTTGAATTTCTCTGAGTAATAAATCTCCAGCATTTTGTAGTGAGAGAATAGAGTGCTAGCTCTTGGTACCAGCTACTTGGTTTCTTAGAACAGGGAGAGGGCCTGAAGATCCAACAACTTAGTAGTATATGGTGTGTTCATATACTGCTGCTTCCTGCAGCACCTGATACCTCACCCCTGTGTAAGCCACCCCAAGTTGCTGAAGGACCACTGCGTCCACTGCCATGGTCATGACCTTCCATGCCATGGAAGATGATTTCCAAGTAGAATTAAGTACCTCACCAAGTGGTTCAGAGCAGCATGTGTTAGAATAAGGGAATGTTCAGACATTGTTGCCCATCACTCTTACTCAGGGTTTGTTTCCTCCACTCTGGCTAGGCTACTTACCACTCTTCTATCAACTTCCCATGCTCTTAAACTTAAACTTATTGACACCACTCATCTGCTATTGTCTTTATTCCCATTCTCAGTATCTTTATGGTTTTACACCCTTTTCATTGCTTCCCTTTTATTGTAGGGAATGGAGGTAGCCACATAGATTTAATCCATCCTGAAGAAGGTTTTTGCTTCAGAGAGCTTTTGCTGTATAGCAACCAATCCCAAAACTTTGTGTTTTGACACCACAAGCATGTGTTATTACTCACAGTGTGTCAGGCGGCTGGGCAGTTCTCTGCTGGGCTGGAACAAGGTGGTCTAGAATGACCTTACACACATGCCTGGCCCGATAGCTGGGGTGATAGCCATGTGTCTCTGGGCATCCAGCAGGTGAGCTCAGGTTTGTTTATGACGAGGGATCCCAAAAAACCCAGAATTTATGTATAAAAAGTTATGTGTTCTTACCTGTTTAAACTTCATTCAACTTCAGAGTACTCTCCATTTGATGCAATATACCTATTGAGACTTTTTTTCACTGCTCAAAACAGTTTTTGAGCTTGTTGATTTTGATACCTTTTAGTACAGGGGTGTCCACTCATTTTCACTGGGGGCCACATCAACCTCATGGTTGCTTTCAAAGGGCCGAATGTAATTTTAGGACTGTATAAATGTTAACTACCCTCAACCGTTATGCAAGAGCTCAATGCTGCTGCCACATAGAAACAAGATGCCAAGCCAGATAAAACAAGGCGGACGGCCAGATTCGGCCCCTGGGCCTTGTGTTTGCCACCTGGATTTTAGTGCTTCTGCTGGTTTTCATTTTACCTCTTCTGCATCAGCAAAACGTTTCCCTTGGAGGACTTTTTACATCCAGGGAAACAAAAAGATGTCACTCAGGGACAGATTGGGTGAATAGGGATGGTGGGTTACACTGTTTTTTTAATCGAAAATTGCTGAGCACTCAGTGCACTGTGGGCAGGTGCACTCATAAATCCTCCATCTTGAAATGGGCAAACATGTTGAAAGAGTATTAAAAAAAAATTCCCTGCCTGGCTGGTGTAGCTCAGTGGATTGAGTGCGGGCCTGGGAACCAAGCAACCATGGTTCGATTCCCAGTCAGGGCACATGCCTGGGTTGCAGGCCAGTTCCCATCAGGGGACTCACAAGGGGCAACCATACATTGATATTTCTCTCCCTCTCTCCTTCCCTTCCCCTCTAAAGATAAATAAATAAAATCTTAAAAAAAAATTCCCTGAAGCTGAACACAGCATCTCATCACAGTGTCAGCTGATACACTGATACAGATGAGTTCCTAAAACATTCACCTAGTGGGGGAAGTCTGTACTACAAAGGGGGTTGCCTTCCAGAATATAATTCCAGTTTGGTTGGGGTATGGTTTCCCTTCTTACAGTAACAAGATTTTGCAGTAGCAACAAGGGAGGGCAGACACCACTGCACTGCCTGCCTGTGCAGGCCTTTTCAAGCCTCTGCCTGCCTCACATCTGCCAATATCCCATTGGCCAAAGCAAGTCATATAGCCAAGTCCAGAGTCAAGGGCAGAGGAAAAGATGCTGCCTTCTTAGAGGAGGAGCTGCAAATTGCATTTGCTAAGGGTAGCACACCAGAGTGGAAACACTGTGTTCATTTTATAATCTACCACATTTTCTTTATGATCTTAAAGCTTAGTATCTACACTTTTATTTATTTTTAAAAAGATTTTATTTATTTTATTTTTAGAGAAAGGGGAAGGGATGGAGAAAGAAGGAAAGAAACATCAATGTGTGGTTGCCTCTCATGTGCCCCCAGTTGGGCACCTGGCCTGCAACCCAGGCATGTGCCCTAAATGGGAATCAAATCAGTGACCCTTTGGTTTGTAGGCCAGCTCTCAATTCACTGAGCCACACCAGCCAGAGAACACCTACATGTTTAAATGTCATTTTATATTGGCCCAGTCTGGGTAGCTCAGTTGGTTAGAGCATAGTTCCAATAACTCCAAGGTAGCAGGTTCAAGAAGCAACCAATTAATGCATTAATGGGTGGTATAACAATTTGAGGTTCTCTCTCTCCCCTCCTTCCTCTCTCCCTTCTTCCCTTCTTTTCTCTCTCTCTTTAAAATTAATAATTTTTTAAAGTTTGAAGTGATTTTATATTTATAAAAATATAAATTTAAATAAGATATAATCTTCAGATTTCTGTTGAATTTTTTATTTTGCTATTCTAAGTTATGACCATCTGGTGTAGCAATCTCCAGAGAAATGTAACTGGATTCACAGATTTGTTATCTTTGGACCCAGAGTTTGAAGCTGTCTCAAACTTACCTGAATTTATATCAACCTTAGAATTTCAGGAGGGTAAGTGATGAGGGTCACACTTCTAAAACCTACAGTTCATGATTTTAGAATTTGTTACTACAGTATTGATTCTTAGTGGAGCTATATAAATTATGCAAGTCTTTGATACTTGACAGGTAAGTACATACTGGTACTGTAATATTTCATTATTCACTTTGTTGTCATGGCTGTTTGTTTGTAGAGTACAGACTGCAAAGCTGTGATTAGCACCATGGACAGGAGCTCCTTAGACAGCAGTGGATTTTCTCTCCGCATTGGTTTGTCCGATGCATATCTCCCAAGAATGTGGGTTGAAAAACATCCAGAAAAGGAAAGCGAGGTATAGTACTTCTTACTTAAAAGTAGAAAGCCATTGAAAAAATATTTCAGAATAAATTATTTAAACTTGAAAATTATTGCAAGTCTTGAAAACTAGCATTACTAAATGAGCTCTCCCCATCGCAAGATTCTACAACTAAAATTACTAATGATATCAATCATGACAAACTTCTGAGGTTTCGACCAAAGCCCCCTTGTAATTTAGAGCCTTGTAAAGTTTATAAATTTCACCTTAATCCCCACCAAAAGGAAAATCTGTCTGTAGATATCTGCTTCACACAGTGCATCTATATAGTTTTTGCAGTTTTCAAATACCAAGCTACAAAATTATTTATGGCCATATGACCATTTTGTATGGTGGTGACCAAAAAAGTCTCTTCTTCTGACATAAAAATTGAAAGTGACATCAGCAAGATGGCTGAATAAATGTCCCTTTCATACATATTCCCCACCAACAGTAATTCGACATCTGTCCATCCATCCTGCCTATGTAAGAGCTTTGGGATCCAGTTAGGAGACTGTGAAACCTCAGTGCATTCTAAGACCCAGAAGAGTCATTCTGAGTGAGCAGGCTCACACACAGGCTGCTTACTTGCTGGCAATGGTCCTGACTGCTGAAATAGAAACAGCTTCATATCCCTGAGAAATTGGCTACATCCCTGTTTGGCTGGGTCCTGTCATCAGCATCATATGCCATGGGACCCAGGAGAAATCAGGTCCACTTCAGCACTAAGTAATAGGCATACAAAACTTGGTCCCAGTTGTGAACCCTGTTGTGGACAGTGAACTGGATCTAGCCACTGTTAGCTATGGTCCAGGACTTCCTGGAGGTAAGGCCACCAAGCTTGGTCAGTGTACAAAAATCAGTTGTATTTCTGTGTACTAATAACAAACTTTCTGAAAAAGAAATAAAATAACTTATTTACAATACCATCAAAAACAATAAAACACTTGGGAATAAATTTAATCAAGTAGATGGAAGATCTGTACACTGAGAACTATAAGACATTGATAAAAGAAATTAGAGAAGAGAAGAAATAATGGAAAGGTATTCCATGATGAACACAAAACACCACAAATAGAGAAATCTCGAGAAAGAAGAACAAAGCCAGAACCAATATACTTCTTGATTTCAAATTATACTACAAAGCTATAATAAAACAATATGGTACTGGCATAAAAACAGACACATAGACCAATGGAACAGAATTCAGAGCCCAGAAGTAAACCTGTGCATATATGGTCAATGGATATCTAACAAGGGAGCCAAGAATACTCAATAAAGAGAGAGGGCTTCAAAGCAGCAAACACATGGAGATTCCAGGAGACTGGCTGGTAGAGAGGGTGTGGAAGCTCTGTGCCCTCTGCTTCTCCATTTGGCTGTTGCTGAGTTATATCCTTTAAAAAAAAAAAGAAAGAAATGGTAATCTAGTAAGTAAAATGTTTCTCTGAGTTCTGTGAGCCACTGTGGGAAATCCTGAGGAGATCGTTGCAACCTCTAATTTGTAGCTTGTAGGCTAGAAGCAGTCAGAAATAGAACATCGAAGCTATCAATGTTGCTCCATGAACAGGGCTGTGGGCTGGATTGATTGGAAATATCAAGGAGGTACTGGCTGGAGTTCTGGCCAAGATGGAGGTATAGGTAGAAACCCTTCAATTTCTCACACAACTGAAAGGAGGGTAACAACCAATCTAAAATCAATAAACCACCAGTGCCAGAAAATCAAACTGCATAGAGCTCTGACAATCAAGGAATTAAAGAAACAGTCAACCTGGACAATCAGACTGGTAAGAACCTGTGGTGAGGCGGTGGACTATGTGGATGGGACCCACTGAGAGAAACCTCCACAAGGTGGCAGACTGCATGGGCAGTGCTGGCTAAAAGGGAAGCTCAGACTCAGAACTGACTTGGAATATGGCAGTTTCTGTGGTGAGAGAAGCTCCCAGTCTCACACTACAGTTCATTGGAAAGTGGGCTAGAGTGGAGCAGGGGAGCTGCATTGTTTCCTCTCTGGCCCCTGCCCCCCAGGCAGCACCACAACAGAGCAAGGAGGGTTGCCCTCCCTGGTGAATACCTGAGGCCCCACCCCCTTACAACTTCACAGGAGCACTGAGACAGAGAAATATGGCCCGAATGAAATAACAGAGCAAAACTCCAGAAAAGGAGCTAAGTGACAAGGAGACAGCCAGTCTATCTAATGGAGAGTTCAAAACCCTGGAAATCAAGATGCCCATAGAACTGATTGAGCTTGGTTGGAAAATGAAGGAACAAATGAAGGCTACCCAAATAAAGCAAAATATTCAGGGAACCAACAGTGATAGGAAGGAAATCAGGACTCAAACGAACAATTTGGAACAAAAGGAAGAAATAAACATCTAACTGGAACAGAATGAAGAAATCAAGAATTCAAAAAAAAATGAAGAGAGACTTAGGAACCTCTGGGACAACTTAAAACATTCTAATATCTAATTTATAGGGGTGCCAGAAAGAGAAGAACAACAGCAAGAAATTAAAAACTTAGGACTTCCAGCTAAGATGGAGGCATAGATAGACACACTGTGCCTCCACACAAAACCAAAAGAAGGACAACAGCAATTTAAAAAACAAAAATCAACCAGAACTGACAGAAAATCAAACTGTATGGAAGTCCGACAACCAAGGAGTTAAAGAAGAAACATCCATCCAGACTGGTAGGAGGGGTGGAGACAAGCAGAGAGGACATGTGCCAAAACAGCGGTAGAGGACTGGGGCAGGCAAGGCAGTGGCTGGTGCAGCCTGCAGTCCCACATTCACGTGTGAATAAACTGGGATGAACACCTGGGGAGTGAGACAGATTGCACAACCTGGGGTCTCAGCACAGGGAAATAAAGCCTCAAACAACCAACTGAAAACACCTGTAGGGGTTGAGGCAACAGGAGAAACCCCCAGCCCCCCAGCCTCACAGGTGAGTTCGTTGGAGAGACCCACAGGGTCCTAGAACATACACAAGCCAACCCACCCAGAAATCAGCCAGAATTGCCCACTTTGCTTGTGGGTATTGGGAGAAATGACTGAAATCCAGCAGAGAATGGAGCATCACTGTTCCCTCTCAGACCCCTTCCCCACATACATTGTCACAAAGCAGCTACATGGTGAACCTGGTGAACACCTAAGGCTCTACTTCTTATACGTAGCAGGCATGCTGAGACAAAAAAAAAAAAAATGGCCCAAATGAAAGAACAGATCAAAGCTCCAGAAAAAATACAACTAAGTGACGAAGAGATAGCCAACCTATCAGATGCACAGTTCAAAACACTGGTAATCAGGATGCTCACAAGATTGGTTGAATTTGGTCACAACTTAGATGAAAAAGTGAAGACAATACTAAGTGAAATAAAGGAAAATTTGCAGGGAAACAACAGTGATGGGAAGGAAAGTGGGACTCAAATCAACAGTTTGGAGCAGAAGGAAGAAAGAAGCATCCAACCAGAACAGAATGAAGACACAAGAATTCAAAAGAATGAGGGGCTTAGAAACCTCTATGACGTTTTTAAACGTTCCAATATCTAAACTATAGGGTTGACAGAAAGAGAAAAGGAAGAGCAACAAATTGAAAACTTATTTGAACAAATAATGAAGGAGAACTTCCCCAGTCTGGCAAAAGAAATAGACTTCCAGGTAGTCCAGGAAACTCAGAGAGTCCCAAAGAGGTTGGACCCAAAGAGGAACACACCAAGGCACATCATAATTAAGTTACCCAAGAATAAAGATAAAGAGAGAATCTTAAAAGCATCAAGAGGAAAGGAGAGTTAGCTACAAAGGAGTTCCCATAAGGCTATCAGCTGATTTCTCAAAAGAAACCTTACAGACAAGAAGGGGCTCAAAGAAGTACTCAAAGTCATGAAAGGCAAGGACCTATATCCAAGAAAATCAAACTGCATTACTGTATCCAGCAAAGCTTTCATTTAGAATGGAAGGGCAGATAAAGTACTTCTCAGAGAAGTTCAAGTTAAGGAGCTCATCATCACCAAGCCCTTATTATATGAAATGTTAAAGGGACTTATCTAAGAAATTGAAGAAGATCAAAAACTATGAACAGTAAAATGACAACAAACTCACAACTATCAACAACTGAACCTAAAGAAAAAACAAAACAGTAAAAACAAATACTAAGCAAACTAAAACAGAAACAGAATTAGAGAAATGGACATCATATGGAGGGTTTTCAGTGGGGAAAGGGAGGGGAAAAAGTGGGGAAAGGTACAGGGAATAAGAATCATAATTGGTAGGCATAAAATAGATGAGAAGAGATCAAAAATTATATAGGGAACAGAAGTTAAAGAACTTATATGTATAAATCATGGACATGAACTAATGGGGATGATGCTGGAGGTTTGGAGGGTACAGGGCGGAAGGGGAATAAAGGGGGGAAAATTAGGAAAACTAATGGCATAATCAATAAAATATACTTAAAAATAGAATAGTCAATAAAGAAATGATAGTCTTTTCAATAAATGGTTTTGGAGAAACTGGATAACCACATACCTTTTGAAAATGGACCCCTATATTATACCACTCACAGAAATAACTCAAAATGGATTAAAGACTTAAATTAATTCCTGAAACTATGTAACTTCAAGAAAAAAGCCCCTTGGGGACTTCCGCCAAGATGGAAGCACAGGTGGAGGTGCCATGCTTTCTCACACAACCAAGTTTAGAGACAACTAAATATTAGCAACAGAAAACACAGCCAGAACATAGAAAATTGAACTTTTCGGAAGTCTGTTAACAACAAATTCTTCAGCCTGACCGGTAAGGGGCGAAACCAGCAGCTGGTGGAGCCGGGTTGCACAGGAAAACTCGATCAGACGGACTCAGGCGTGTGGAATCCAGGTGCAGGGTTGGACCTAGTGAGAGACCCAGCGACCGCGGGAAAACAGCCAGGGAGCAGGGCTGCAGGTTGACTGTTGTCACGCATTCATGCGCGGATAGACAAGTGAGGGAGTGGGAGATTGGACGAGAGCCAGCAGCCCCAGCAGCAAGCAGTGGCGGAGGGCGCCGCCATTTCCCCGCTCTAACCCCACCTCCACATACAGTGTCATAATCCAGCGACCTAAGTGACCCTGCCCCGGTGAATAACCTAAGGCTCTGCTCGTCACCCAGCTGCGAGAAACAGCAGAGGGGGCCGCCATTTCCCCGCTTCCACATACAGCATCACAACCCAGCGACCTGGGAGTCCAAGGCTCCGCTCCTCACACTTAAAGGGCGCGAACAGACCAAAAATGGCTCAAGAAGATCTCAAAGCCCCAGAGCCTATAAATCTAAGCGATGAAGAAATAGCAAAACTCTCAGACGCACAGTTTAAAACACTGCTGATCAGAATCCTCACAGAACTAGTTGATTGTAGCCACAAATTAGAGAAACATGAAGGCAAAACTAATTGAAATGAATGGAACTGCACAGGAAACCAATAGCGATGAAAAGGAAACTGGGACTCAAATCAATGGAGTGGACCAGAAGAAAGCAAATAATGGCCAAACAGAAAAGAGTCAGGAAGCAAGAATTCAAAGAAATGAGGAGAGTCTTAGGAACCTCCAGGACCTCTTTAAATGCTCCAACATCCGGATTATAGGGGTACCAGAAGGGGGAAAGGCACAGCCACCAGTGGAAAACATATTTGAACAAATAAGAAAGGAGAATTTCCCCAATCTGGCAAAGGAAATAGACTTCCAGGAAATCCAGGAAGCTCAGAGAGTCCCAAAGAAGTTGGACCCAAGAAGAAACACACCAAGGCACATCATAATTATATTACCCAAGATTAAAATGAAGGAGAGAATCTTAGAAGCAGCAAGAGCTAAGGGGACAGTCACCTACAAAGGAGTCCCCATCAGACTGTCAGCTGATTTCTCAAAAGAGACCTTACAGGCAAGAAGGGGCTGGAAAGAGGTATTCCAAGTCATGAAATCCAAAGACCTACAACCAAGATTACTCTATCCAGCAAAACTTTCATTTAGAATGGAAGGACAGATAAAGTGCTTCTCAGATAAGATCAAATTCAAGGAGTTCAGCATCACCAAGCCCTTATTATATGAAATGTTAAAGGGACTTATCTAAGTAAAAGAAGTTAAAAAAACATGAACAACGAAAGGACAGCAAACTCACAGTGATTAACAACCACACCTAAAACAAAAGCAAACTAAGAGGACAGCTAGATCAGGAGTGGAAACATAGAAATGAAGATCTCAAGGAGGGTTAGCAACAGGGGAGTGGGAGAAGGAGAAGGGGGGAGAAGGTACAGAGAATAAGTAGCATAGACAGTAGGTAGAAAATAGACAGCGGGGAGGACAAGAATAGTATGGGAAATATAGAATCTAAAGAACTCGAGACACATGGTCATAAACTAAAGGGGGGGTAATGGTGGGGACGGGGGGTAGGGTGTAGGGGATTGAAGGGGGGAATAGAACAACTGTAATGGCATAATCAATAAAAAAATAAATTAAAAAAATAAAAAATTAAAGAAATTTTAAAAATAAAAGAAAAAATCCCCTTGACATTAGTCTTGCTAACTGTTTTTAAATATGATACCAAAAGCACAAGCAACAAAAGCTAAAATAAGAAAGTAGGACTATATCAAAATAAAAAGCTGCTTCTGCACAGCAAACCATCAAGAAAATGAAGAGGCACCTGCGGAATGGGAGAAAATATTTGCAGACTATATATACCACATAAGGAGTTAATATCTAAAATATGTAAGAAACTTATACAACTCAAGAGCAAAAACACTAATAATCTGATTTAAAAATAGGCAAAGAGGTTGAATAGACACTTTCCCAAAGTGGACATACAGATGGCTACTAGGTATGTGGGGAAAAAAGTGCTCAACATCACTGATCTGAGATACCACCTCACACCTGTTTGAATGGCTGGCCTCAAAGAGACAAAAGACAAGTGTTGGAAAGGATGTGGAGAAAGAATTCTTGTGCAGTATTGATGGGAATGCAAATTGGTGCCTTAATCCAGGGAGTCTTCACAGTTTATAGGGTGGCGATTCCAAACACGTGTGCTGTTTGGAGAGATTGTGTGGGTAGGTTTTGGGAGTAAAACGTTGTGGTCATTGACACATAGATTTATGCTGTTTTGAGCCAGCCAGACCGGTTTACATTATGAGAAGCATTAGCCCAGCGCTCTTCTCTCCTTGCAGGCTTGTATGCTCGTTTTCCATCCAGACCTCAACATCACCTTCCCTGATGCAGCCGAGGAGAGTGAAATGGTTATATGTCTCGACTGCTCCAATTCCATGGAGGGTGTGACATTCTTTCAAGCCAAGCAAATTGCCTTATATGCACTGTCCTTGGTGGGTAAGAAGCAGAAGATAAACATTGTCAAGTTTGGTTCAGGTGAGTGCTCTTCGACTGGCATCAACAGTGAACTTCCTCCTTAATATCGTCATCTTTATGGGTAGAGATGATGGCTGTCAGTGTCCTGATCTGACCTTTGCAGTGAGAATTAGCATATCACAGTGTTCAAGAATTCTGGACCCAGGTCCCTGGGTTCAAATCCCAGCTCTACCATTTAGCTCTGGGTATCCCCTTGTGGGGACAAGTTACTTGACCTTTTCGTGCCTCAGTTTCCTCATCTGTATTCTGAGGGTAATGACAGTTCCTACCTCACAATGTTGTTGTGAGGAGTGAGATAATGGATGTAAAGGATTTGAAACAGGGTGTCATTCCTAGTAAGTGCTAAATAAACATTACAATCATTATCACCAGATAGACAAAATGCAAGACCTTTGGTCTGATGACTATGAGGGTCCCAAGGATATGGACAAAACATTTGAGATTAGCACTGTGGTAGAAAATTTATAAGGAATGATCTCAGTATACATGAGGTCAGCCCTATTTATTAGAAAATAGGTAATGCGTGTCCTGATGGGGGCCCAGGACCATATCAGCTACCAGAAGAAGGCACTGTAGCAATGAGGGAAGGACCACAAAGTGCAGTGAGGGACGTCATGTCCTGTTGGTTCTTCTGTGTCATTTAGCAAAGGCCCAGACCCTTTATGAAGGAGCCAGGGTCTGCCACTGCTCGGGGCAGAGATCATGGAAGGAGAATGTGTCCCTCTGATGGCCAAGCTGCCTGTGTTATGGTGATAATCTGCATCTGACTTTGCATAAACATAAGCAATCTGCTACAAAACGGAGTCTGCACACATAATTTGACTCAGAACCTTTTGCACAGTGAAGTGCATAGTTTGCTCTAGAATTTATTATTTAAAGGAATACTGTGGTAATTTTAACTTGTGTTAAAATGATCGAGCATCATTGTTTGTCATTTGTCAATAAAGTGAATAGTTAATGGCAACACCTCACACCAATCTCATTACACAGGATACAAGGAGTTATTTCCATTTCCTAAGTTCATCACAAGCAGTGACATGCCAGCTGAGTTCATTATGGTGAGTAAAAGCCCCTCCTTCTCCTCCTGAGTCTCTGTCCATTTTTAGCAGCGCTGCCCGAGAGAAACACTGTCACGACAGCCCCAGTCTTTCCACTGTGCAAATTGGTGGGCTTTTTCATTTCACTGGTGAAAGCAATGTGAACTCACTGAAGAAAAATTGGAAATTAAAAGGGAAGAAAGAGAATATTGCCCACAGTCCCACCCACCAGCAGTTTAGCATTAACAGTTTAGCAGTGTTTTCTTCTGTCCCTCTTCTCCTGTGTTTTATATGGAGCATGCTCAGTATGACCAAGTCACCACTTCAGTCCAGGCTGGCAGGCCCAGAGGTATTTAATGTAATAGTTCTTTGAAAACCATAAAAGAGCAGATAAATGCTGATTGATAATATTGTAGTTACTGTATGACATGAAATAAACTCAAAGGATATAAATGCAGTTGTTCCACAAATGTTTAATTAGAGAAAAGTACCTTTTTAGTGATGATACTTCTAAACCCTCATTGAGAGATGTGCTCAGTAAATTATTAGAGTGAACATTGAATATCCCCCAAAAGGGATCATTTTCCTCTTCATTTTCTTCAGTCTGCCTTGCCTACCATGGGAAACACCGACTTCTGGAAAACGCTTCGATATTTAAGTTTACTGCCCCCCTCTCAAGGGTTAAGGAACATCCTTCTCATATCTGACGGCCACCTGCAGGAAGAGCGCCTGACTCTGCAGCTTGTGAAGAGGCATGTGCAGCACACCCGGCTGTTCTCCTGCGGGGTTGGGTGAGTGTCAGGTCGTTGCCCCTGAAGGCCACAGTGGGAGGCAACCTCGGAGGGGATGTCTTGGCCCACAGAGGGTTCTCGGCAGTTGTGAGGTTGATACTTGTGTAAAGAAGCTGTTTAGGGTACAGTTAAGGAGCCTTGGGCTGAGAGCCAGACTGTGTGCATCTCAACTCCCGAGCCAGTCACTTATTCGCTATGACCTTGGGCAGTTTGTTTAATCTCTATAAAATGAAGGTGATGATGTAAACACTACCTCTGACGATTAAACGAACTCACATATAGAAAGCACTTAGACAAACTGGCCCATAGCAAGCACCAAATCAACGTTAGTGTTATTTTGCCTACAAGTCCACATTTCCAACCTATCCTGAGAAGCCCAAGGTGGTTCCTGACTGGGGCTGCAGGGCCTGCTGCTTTAGGGCCCCATCCCACTGCCCTGCTCCTCACAGCACCTTACCAGTGAGGTTCACATTGTCAAACCCTGGGATGTATGGAGAATCTTTCTCTTGGGGAGTGTAAACTCTATTATGTTGGAATGAACTCCCTCCACAATTATAGTTAGCTTTTCTAGTTGAACTGAGGTATATGGTGTAAATATAATAAAAACACTAAACCAAAGAGGTCAGACTGGTATTTGCACAGAGCAGACCTGTCCTGTGCCTACCTGTGATCCCTGCCCACAGTCACCTTCCTGGCAAGCAATCACCAGGCCATCCTTCCCTCACGCTGTGCTGTCCTAGGCCCCTGGGCTTCTGTAGTGATCTGGGACCTTAATGCCCCCCTAGATGGCTCTCCCTACCTGCCCAGAGGGCTCTTCTCTCTGCACCCCCTCAGTCCCAGCTCCTAGTCCTGTTTTCTGTACTCGAAGGCCTAACAGGGTATTACTCACCAACCAGGAAGTGTGTCCAACCCACAGCAAATAACTTGCACCTTTTGATACCAGGTGGCCAGCCCTAAGCCTGCTGCAGGGAGGTGTCTTCTCCCTGTCTGAGTCAGCTCCCTATTTCATCTTCCTGGTCACAGAAATTCCTGCCTGCTCCCCACACTGTGTGTCAGGGTCCTGCTGTGCTGTGGTCAGGCTCAGATGTCTCAGCATACAAGGCTCTGTGTATTTGCTGAGGATCTGTTGTAGGACAGACACTGCTCAGCTGAGGCTGTAGTACTGCATGTGGGAGATAAAGAGCAATCCAGAACCTCAAAGGGAGATGGAGTCCTAAGTGCCAGACAGGAAGGAAAGTGGCTGTGAGGGGTGACTGTGCTGGTTGACATGACCCAGCTGGAGAATTGTAATTGTTACTGACTTTTGGTCCAGTTTTTAGGACCTTTCTAAATGTTTCTGCCTCATTTATGTTAAAAAACTCCAGCAAAATGCTGGGAGCTCTCCAGAAGTAGACATGATTCCTCCTGCCATTTTAACAAGTCCACACACAGAAAAGGTTCCAAGTAGCCCCATCAACTGATGGAACTTATAAAATGCAGCTGAAGGATTTTCTAATCAGTGTTGTAATCACCACCGGTTACTTTAAAGGACTGAAGACAAATCTAACTTTTATCAATATGCTAAAATATGTTTCAAAGATAACTTTCTTAAGCTCTCTTTCAGAGAAGTTATTGATCATTTCTTTAATATTTCAGGAGGAAACTCTTTAAGAAAGTCATTCTCGATAGGTGTAGGATTATTGAGAGAACTTTAATAAGACATTGTCATTTAAATACCAGATTATCTTTGCTAGGATGAGAGTTATTTATTTATATCTTTTGCCATCTAGATGTGGATCAGATTTCAAGCTGTAGACTTTATTAACCCCTATGCCATTTCTTGACATTTGGAATCAAATTTGGGTAGCTTTGACACTCCTTAAGAGTAGGTTGATCTTTATCAGCATTCTGGTACTTTGGGGGACTTTTTTTTTTTTTTCCAGGAGAATCATCTGCTTCCTCCTTAAGTAAATTGAAAGTCAAGAAATTCTGCTTTTATTCTGTTATGAGAAATAAGCTCTCTGATGTGTGCAGCTTGTTACCCAAACTTTTTGATGTTTCATATTATCTGTCATATGTTTTATCTCCTGAACCTAAGCTATAGAAGAATATTCTTCTGTATGAACGTCTCTTTTGTTGGGTTTTGAACTGTGTCAGTCTTATTAACTACGTGGACTTCTAAAATGTTTCTAGAATTTCTTAAAAAGTAATACCTGTGAAATGTGATCAGTTCAACAGCAAATCGTCATATCTTAAGGATTCTGTCCCAATGTGGTGCTGGACTGTTTGAATATTTTAACTCAAAATCCAAACATAGTTGGAAAAAACAGGTACGTTTCTCAAATACATTATTACTAGTCTTACATTTACATGTGGAAATGTTATCTTTGTACATTCATGTTTTCATCCAAGGGAACAGGAACTAGAAAGAGGCAGAGGCCCCATGATGTGCACCCACCTCTGGTGATCCCTGACCTTCTCCCTGGCAGGGGCACAATGAATGCAAAATTGGGCATTCTCCTAGCTCGTGGTTTGATTTCTGCTTTATCAAATGTCTTGGGTTGACTTTTAAAAGTGAAGTATTGCCAGCCCTGGCTGGTTTAACTCAGTGGATTGAGCGTGGGCCTGTGAACCAAACAACCGCAGTTCAATTCCCAGTCAGGGCACATGCCTGGGTTGCAGGCCAGTTCCCAGCAGGGGATGCACCAGAAGCAACCAAGGGGACACACGAGAAGCAACCATACATTGATATTTCTCTCCTTCTCTCCTTCCCTTCTAAAGATAAATAAGTAAAATTTAAAAAAATAATAAATAAATAAAGTAAAAGTGAAGTATTGCCCTGGCTGGTGCAGCTCAGTAGATTGAGCATGGGCTGTGAATCAAAGGGTCGCTGGTTCAATTCCCAGTCAGGGCACATGCCTGGGTCTCGGGGCCAGGTCCCCAGTGGGGGCCAGGTGAGAAGCAACCACACATTGATGTTTCTCTCCCTCTTTCTCCCTCCCTTCCCCCCCTTTCTAAAAATAAATAAATAAAATCTTTTTTAAAAAATGAAGTATTATACATGTTTTACTAAAATTAATTTTTATTGTGGCAAAATAAACATAAAAGTTGCCAATTTAATCATATTTAAGTGTGCAGTTCAGTGGCATTAAGTGTGTCACATTGTGCAACTCTCACCACACTCCATCTCCAGAACTCTTTCATCTTCTCAAACAGAACTTTATACCCATAAAACAACAACTGATTCTTCTTCCTCCTCCTTCGCTGGCAACTACCCTTCTACTTTCTGTCTCTATATAAAGTTGACTGCTTTAGATATTTAGGTATCCCTTGTAAGTGGAATCTTACTGTACTTGTCCTTTCATGTCTGGTTTATTTCATTTGGCATAATGTCCTCAAGATTCATCCATGTGGTACCATGTGTCAAAATTGTCTTCCTTTTTAATGACTGAATAATATTCATCATCTGTACCTAGCACATTTTTATCCATTCATTTATTGGTAGAAAGTTGAGTTGTTTCCACCTTTGGCTGTTGTGAACCATGCTGCTATGAGTGTTGGTGTACAAGGATGGTTTGAGATGCTCATTACAGTTATTTTAGGCATATACCCAGAAGAGGAATTGGCAAATCATATGGTAATTTTAGGGTTAGTTTTTTAGGGACTGCCATGCCATTGTTCATGCCGTTGCTGTACCATTTCATTACATCCCCAGCAACGTACCAAGGTTCCAAGTTTTCTATATCCTGGTCAGTCCTTATTTGCCATTTTTTGTTTTTGTTTTTATAATAACCATGCTAATGAGTGTGCATTTGTATCTCACTGGGGTTTTCACTTGCATTTTCTTAATGACTAATGATGTGAAACATCTTTTTATGTGCTTATTAGCCATTTGTGTATCTTTGGAGAACTGTCTACTCAAATCTTTTATAGGATTAATTTTTATAACTGGAATTTACTCCATGCTAGAGCTGTATATTAGTAATTAACTAGTGTAATAATTTTAGGATGTTTCGTACATTTAAATAATGTGCTAGTGCATTAGAAAAAAAGAGTTATTACAGGAACTAGTATAAAGGACACATGGACAACAACTAAGGGGGGTGGAAGTGGGAGGGAGGTGGGGAGCATGGGGGGGGGCTGGGATGGGAGTAAAAGACAGAATACTGTAGTTGAAAAATAATTAAATTAAAAACAAACAAACAAACAAAAAAAGAGTTATCAGTCTCAGAGAGAAGAATAGAATGTAAAGATTAAGTGTTCAGTAACTATTTTCTGGATACAACATTGAAAGATAAATAATTCTTCTTTAACAAATAGATAGAAGACCAGATGACTCGGTCACAATCCCCAAGCTGCCACACGGTCTCTGTGAAATGGCATCAGTTCAGTGCAGACACACCGGAGCCCCTTCAGGCCCCAGCGCACGTGCAGGCTTTGTTCCACAATGACCGGCTCCTGGTCTACAGCTTTACTCCTCATTGTACTCAGGTAAAGAGGCACATAGTTTGTTTCACTGTGGGAAGAGCAGTTATTTTGTGAGTAATTTTCTTTTCTGTCTGATTTTTTTTCTCTCTTTCTTCCCCAAATCATATGTTGGCAAATTTTCTCCTTCCAGAGACACAGTGGGTGGTTTAACAAGGGGCCCTGGAAAGCCTTTTGATTTCCCTTGAAAGCTGAAAGGAAATTGCTAAAAGAATCACTGTCAGACTGACCAAAGTACTGGGGAGTGGAAAAGGTAATAAGGAACTTTTTTGCCCATTTCAGGCAACTCTGTGTGCATTAATTCAAGAAAAAGAATTTTCTACGATGGTATCAACTACTGAACTTCAGAAGACAACCGGAACTGTAAGATTCAAAATTTAAATTGTGGACCTAGTGCTGGAAAGCTGTAATAATTTTATATTTTAATGTAGAATTCTCAATACGTTTCCTTTGTTATTGCTGTTTTTCTGTGTTGACATTTCAGTACAAATGAGGACAGTTTCCTGTAGATTCTTTTCTTTTTAAAAGATTTTATTTTATTTATTTTTTTAGAGAGAGGGAAAAGGAGAGAGAGAGAGAGAGAGAGAGAGCAACATGGGTGTGAGAGAGAAACATCAATTGACTGCCTCTTGCATACCCAAGACTGGGGACCTGGTCCCCACCAGGCATGTGCCCTGACCGGGAATCACAGCAGCTTTCACTTTGTGGGATGACACCCACCCAATGGAGCCACACTGGTTGAGCACCTATGTTATTTTAAAATAGTAAATAATAGTAGTAAACTGAATAAAACATTTATTGAGGCTGTGTTTACTTTTTCTACTTTTGGATTAAGAGCAAATGAATTAGCACCAAAAAGTTTATACTATTTGCATTAGTATTTAATCTACTGTAGTTAGACCTAGAAAATTCCTAACCTATCTGTGCTATAGTATATGTAGCTTGCTTTTTATAGGAGTATTTGTGAAGCCAGAGAAACCACTTCCCAAACATTGCTGGGTTTGGGTTTTTTTATTTTGTTTTGTTTTTTTAAATACAATATGGCTTTTCCAGCACTCACTGGATCAATAATAATAATTATTACTTGCTAGTGACTTATGTATAGAACATAAGGGAATTTCCACATTATTAAAAAATTGAATCTTAGGCAGAAATAAAGAAAAAAAATTGTGCCTGGGAAGATGTCATTTTTCAGAAAAGCACAATTTTTATGGTTGTGCTTCCTCTGTAAACTGTGATCTGATTGATAACACAATGCTAAGAGTTGGACTTCTCTTTGAAAGCGGATATGGCCATTTAAGATCTGCTCTGTGTTTTTGTCATTTAAGAAGAAGAGGAGGGAGCCCTTCTTCCTCCCCTTCAGCATGGAAACCACACTCATGCTAGGGCATCACAGCACTAAGCTGGCTCCTCCTACAGTAGAATAACTTGAAGTTTCTGAAATAAATTAAACTGGAAAAGGCCTTTTATAGAAAAAGCAAAACTGTAAGGACAGAGAACAGGTGAGCTGTTGGCAGGGGCTGGAGGTGCCTGCAAAGGGACACGCAGGGTTTTATAAGGTGAAGGGACTACTCTGTGTCTTTATTTCAGTGGTGGTCACACAATTGTGTATGTTTATTAAAACTTATCAAACTATACACTTTAAAATAGTGAACTTTAGTATATGTAGATTATACCTGTGTTTTAAAAATAGGTTTCTATGTGTGACTGCAATTAAAAGACGTTCAAATCTTTCCTTCTTTGCTGCTCACACAGATGATTCACAAGCTGACAGCACGAGCCCTGATCAGAGATTATGAAGATGGCATTCTCCACGAAAATGCAACCGATCATGAGGTCTGCTCTTTTGAAAGCAAAAATTTTTTGTGCTCTGTTAATAGCTCTCCTTAAATGGACTTTTCCACGGACCTGAAGAGTGAGGCTAGCAGGATGGAGATACACACAGTATCGGGGCATGTATTGTCATGTCAGGGTGCAGGGTACTCTGTGGCTTCCTGAGAACTCCATGGTGACTGTGACCATCAGAGAGAGGCTGGAGGAGGGCTCTGAGAGCATCTGTCATCAGAGCTCTTGCATGCTGTTGATGGTCATAGTCCCCTCATCCTGCTAAAGAGCCAGGTGCAGGACAGGTGGGCAACCTGCCTATGGATACACAGTGTAGAAAAAGCTACCTGACTCCCTCCTCTCTAAGCTGACAAGGCCCCTGGCTGAGGGTTCCACTCAGCCAGGACAGCCCTGTTGGCCCCTCTGAGGCTCTGATCTAAAATTAGTCTAGAAGCATTAGGGCTCAATGCCATCCCCCAAAGAGGGTACCAGAATGCCACACAGAGCCACCAATTCCTTTGCAAACAGTTACTGCTCATGATACGTGGCCTATGCCTTCAGCACTCTCCTGTGCTGCCCTTATATTATATCCTTGAGTTCATTTTGCTCACTGCCCTCTTATGTCTGGGGGCCTGACCAGCCCTGCCACCAGACAGTCCTGAACAAGGCACTTCACCTGTCCATGTCTTAGAGTCTGATAATGAAAATGGGGCACATAGACTTCCTGTAAAAGATTTCAGAAGTTCAGTATACTCTCCAGAGTGAGAGTTTTTTATAATTTATGAAGGGCTCTATTAATAGAATTATTCCTTCAAGGACTTGGTTGCTGAATTGAGTAGGGAACTTTCAGTCACCAACTTGAGATATTTATACAGGGACATTGACTCAATATTTAGTTTGAAATTCTACTTATGAAATAATTTGCTTTTTATAGAATAAGACCTTTTAGATTACTTAATACACTTTTAATGAAAATAAAACAAGATATGTTTGCATTTGTTTTATTCTATCCTAGATGAAGAAGCATATCCTAAAATCTCTGATTATTCGACTCAGTAAAGAAAACTCTCTCATAACACAATTTACAAGCTTTGTAGCTGTTGAGAAAAGGGTATGTAATAGTGTTAATTCATGTTTCTTGTCTTTCTTTTTAATCCTCACTTGAGGACATGCTTATTGATTTTAGTTAGAAGGAGGGGAAGGGAGGGAGATAAAGGGAGAGAACAGTGATGTGAGAGACAAACTTCAATCAGTTGCCTCTCATATATGCTCTGACCAGGACTGAACCAGATATGCATCTTATCCAGGAATTATACCTGCAATGCTTCAGTTTATGGGACAACATTCCAAACAACTGAGCCACACTGGCCAGGGCCTTGGTTATTTTGTGTGTACATGTTAACAAAATTACTCTTACTCTGTTGCTGACAATATCCATATCCTTGGCCTGTGATGAACAAGGAGGGGAGAGGTAGAGGATCATCAAGCCAGGGCCTCAACGTGAAGGCCCATGGTGACTTCTCTAAATGAGATACATATGTTATTATTTTTAATGTTATAATTATTAGTTTCATGTGTACTTTTAAGATTTACTTCAATTTTGTTATTTTTTTGGCATTTCTCATTTTTTATTAATCCAAGCCCTTCAAAAAAAAAGAAAAGTCCTGGGTTTTCCCTTTCCTTCTGAAAAGCCCATAAACTTAAGGCTCTTATTTCAGTGACCACTCAGTGAAGAGGACCACCACTAAAATGAAGACGTCTGTCTTGACCTCTTTTACTCTCACCTGAGGCCCCAGATGCAGGATCCAATCTGACACCCACATATATTCCAAACCAAACATTCATAGGGCTTTAGAATGTATAATCATTTCACTTGATAATGTTTGTTTTGTTTTTACCTAATTGTGATTCAATATAGGATGGTAATGAGTCACCTTTTCCTAGTACTCCAAATATTTTGGAACTTATTGCCAAAGAAGATGTAGATTTCCTGCCATACATGAACTGGCAGGAAGAGCACCCAGATACCAGCATACCCCAGGTAAGTATTCATTACTGCATAGATTTGTATTGTGTTTTCCTATTTTTATGGTGTTGAGGGGAACTCTTTGAAAAATAACATTTTTCAAAGCCTTAATATTTGTATATGCAGAATACATATACAAACACTTTTACATTTATAAAAATGCTATTTCATGACTGGGAAAGTCAACATATAGAAATATAGCTATAAGTACAAAAAGGGAAAAGTGTAGTTCCACTCCTCTCAGAGACAGATGAACTGTCACACAGGAAGTGAAAGTCATTTGCTCTCAGTAATATAATAGATTTATCATGAAGTAGTGTTAAAAGTCTTACCTAATAACCTAAATTCACCACCAATGTTTCTTAAAGTTTATAGTGCTCAGTAGTGTGGCCTTTACAACCAGAAACTTAATAGAAGTTAGAAATGTGACTTAACTAAACATTGAAAGGCATATTCAAAAGAAAAGGAGTAAAACAGTGCTCTTGAGTATCCAGGTTAAAGAAGTAAAGTTGACAAATTTTAGGAATTTAGAGTCTAAAGGAAAAAAATTTGTGAGGAGAGGAATTTTTGGAAAATATTGTACAATATAGGCAACATTTCCTTTTTTGGATTCATTCTAAAGTTATGTCAGTTAAGAACATAGAAACATTAGATGTCATTGGCTTTGCTCATAAAGTCATATTTAGTATGATTTAAAAAAATATTTTGTCAATTATAGTTGACATGTAATATTACATTAGTTTCACATATACAACATAGTGTTTAGACATTTATATAACTTACAAAGTGATCACTCTGATAAGTCTAGTATCCACCTGGTACCATACATTATAATAATGTTTAGTATGTTTTAAGGTGGTAAATGAACAAGACATTAACAACAAAACCACAAATGTTTCTTCAAATGAGCCAGAGGAGTAAATAAACCAAGACTGTACTGAAAAAGCTAACATTAAGGAGGCGTTTGTTTTTGTTTGTGTGTTTCTTTTTCATAGTTCTTTTTAACATTTTTTATTGTTATTCTATTACAGTTATCCCAACTTTTTCTCCTTTGCCTTCCTCCACCCAGCGCACACCCCAATCCACACACTGTTGTCCCCGTTCATGGCTCATTCATACATGTTCTTTGACTAGTCCCTTCCCCTTCTTCCCACCATTATCCCTCTCCCCCTACCCCACTGGCAACTGTCAGCTTGTTCCATGTTTCCATGCCTTTGGTTCTATTTTACTCATTATTTTGTTCATTAGCTTCCTCTTCTAAGTGAGATCATATGATATTTGCCTTTCACGGACTGGTTTATTTCACTTAGCATAATATTCTCCAGTTCTATCCATGCTGTTGCAAAATGTAGGCCTTCCTTCTTTCTTTTTGCTGCATAGTATTCTGTTGTGTAAATATACCAGCTTTTTGATCCACTCATCTATTGATGGGCACTTAGGCTGTTTCCAGCACTTGGCTATTATAAATTGTGCTGCTGTGAATATTGGGGTGCCCAAATATTGAATTTGTGTCTCAAGATTCTTAGGGTATATTCCCAGCAGTGGAATCACTGGATCAAAAGATAGATGCATTTTTAATTTTTTGAGGAAATTCCATACTGTTTTCCACAGTACCAGTCTGCATTCCCATGAACAGTGCACTAGGGTTCCCTTTTCTCCACAACCTCTCCAGCACTTGTTGTTTGTTGATTTATTAATGATGGCAGTTGTGACAGGTTTGAGTTGATATCTCATTGTGGTTTTAATTTGCATCTCTTTGATGGCTAATGATGTTGAGCATCTCTTCATATGTCTCTGGGCCCTTTGTATGTCCTCCTTGGAGAAACGTCTGCTCAGGTCCTTTGCCCATTTTCTAATTGGATTGTTTGTCTTCCTGGTATGGAGGTATGTGGGTTTTTTATATATTTTGGAAATTAAACCCTTTTCTGATGTATCATTAGCAAATACATTCTCCCATACAGTTGGTTCCCTTTTCATTTTGATGATAGTTTCTTTATCCATGCAAAACCTTTTAATTTGATGTAATCCCATTTGTTTATTTGTTCCTTTATTTCTCTTGCCCTAGGAGATATACTGGGATATATTGGGGAAAATATTGCTCTGTGAGAGATATGAAATTTTACTGCCTATGTTTTCTGCTAGGACATTTATGGTGTTGAGACTTATATTTAAGTTTTTTATCCATTTTGAGTTTATTGTCATATAAGTTGATGGTCTAGTTTCATTTTTTTCATGTACCATTCCTGTTCTCACAACACCATTTATTGAAGAGGCTATTTTTACTCCTTTGTATGCTCCTGCCTCCTTTGTCAAATATTGACCATAGAGACATGGATTTGTTTCTGAGTTCTCTATTCTGTTCCATTGATCTATGTGTCTGTTCCCATGCCAGTACCAAACTGTTTTGATTATAGTAGCCTTGTAGTACATTTTCATATCAGGTATGGTGATCCCTTGAGAAAGTCTTTGAAGAGTATTTTCAAACAGTGAAACAGATTTAAGCATATGATAGATAAAATCCTAAAAGTGATAAAATGAGGGAAAATTTTTTCTACTGGAGACAGATTGATTTCCTTAATATATAAATAGCTCCCATGAATTAAGAACAAGGTCAGTCATCTGATCTTGTGTAAAACAGGCAAAGGGTTTGATTATGAGTAAGGAAATATTGTGGCTCTCAAACATAAGAGAAAATGCTTAGTTTCATTATAGCTAAGAGAAGTGCAAATTAAAACTGCAGTGAGGTCTATTTTTTTCATCTGTTAGGTTGGCAAAGATCAAAAAGGGAGATGATTGAAAGTAGTAAGAAAACCTGCCACACAGGGTTGTTGTGAAGGGTGCAAGAATTAATCCATGTAGGGCCAGTAAAGCAGACCTGGTTCTCGTTTGATGCTAGTAAGTGGGAGCTCTCAGTGTCATTAGAAAGGGTATTGAAATGGGCACCCACCCACAAGCTGAGGGCACAGGAGGTCAGTGCAGCCTCTGTGCAGTGTGGTACAACATCTACACAGCCCTTAAAAAGAGTGAGGCATCTTCATGTGTTGTTATGGGAAGATTCCCTAAGAAATAGTAAGCAGGAAAAGCAAGATGGAGAACAGTGTGAATAACATAATACTCCTTGTGGAAAAACAAAAATTAAAGAATGGACATTTCTTTTCTTATTTGTTTATGTTCTTATTTTAAAATGTCTGAACATTTACCATTTCTGGGGAGATACACTAGGTTCTGTGACAGAACTCACATCCAGCGTGGTCTGCGGGTGGCCAGGAGGTTTTGTAGGGGCTTGTTCATGGCAGTGTACCCTTTCCGTACTTTGAATCTTGTACCACGGGCATGGATTGCCCACCCAAAATATAAATACACTTTAAGAAAACACAAAGGGTTTGAGGGAGTTTGGTTAAGGTAGGAGATGTGTGTATGTTGATCACAGTGGTAAACTGAAGCAAACGGAGGGTGGCCTAGCAGCCTTACCCACAGGCACTGTGTGTGTTGAAAGCATCAGTGTGAGGCTACAGCTGTTATTCTGAGACTTCCAGATTCCACCCCAGAGATGTGGCTCAGGAATTACCAAAAGACAGAAAAGGGACCATGCTGAGGGGTGGTGACCCTGCACTCTCCATTACTCCCACAAGGGGCTGTTTGAGTGCCATATTTTGTAAAAATCATCGATGTACAACTCATAATGAACTACTGTTCTTCCAGCAAGACAGCCTATTGTCAAAATGGGTCCTTGAAAATGTATATTTATTTTAAATATGTGTCAAATACTCAGAAAATACCCGGAGAGATATATGCCAAACAGATATCAGATATAAGAGTCTGTGTGATTTTTATTTTCTTCTTCTTTGTGTCTACCTGTGTTTTCTGGTATTCTCATAGTACATGTATATTGTTTGCAAAATTTTTAAATTTAGTTTCAAAATTGGTTCTAACTTTGGGTTTTCTACAGTGTGATCATGAATTATTTCATACTAATTTTGCAAATGCTTTGCACTTTTAAAAAATAATTTAAAATTTTTTCAATTAGAGTTGACCTAAAATATAATGTGTACAAAATAGTACACATTATAGGCATTTAGATAACTTGGAAAATGATCACCCCATAAGTCCAGGACCCACCTGACATCATATATAGTTATTACATTATTGACAATATTTTCTATGCCAAATGCTTTGGACCTTAATACTTCCATATCTAAACCTATAAGATGAAAATTTACAAATACTTTCACATCTAAACCGATAGGATGAAGATTACAAATTAAATTGATGATTGATCATTTATTTTAGCTACAATAATTTTTCTGAATGAACCATCAAATTTAGCAAAATATTCAAGCCTCTGCGACTGTCCCTAAGAAATCATTTTACTTACCAAAATGTGACACAGCACCTGACTGGTGTTGCTCAGTGGATTGAGCATCATCTTGCAAACCAAAAGGTCACTAGTTCAATTCCTGGTCAAGGCATATGCCTGGGTTGCAGGCCAGGTCTCAAATTGGAGGCATGGGAGAGGCAACTGATCAATGTTTATCTTGCTCGTAGATGTTTGTCTCCCTTCCTTCCCTTCTCTCTAAAATTAAGTAAAATATTTAAAAACAAATGTGACTAAGAAAGAATTCCATTTGGAATGACTTTAGGTCAGATCAGTAACAGGCAGCTAGACAATAGGCCTTGGAAGGGCCCTGGCCAAAGGGAAGGCAGAGAGTTTATAAAAATAACTTCTGGTCTCATTGTTAAAGTGAATTCTTTTAAAAATTCAATACTTCAACTCTTGTTAGCAACAAATGAAGTGTTATGAATGAAATTAGAACCCATCTAGCCCTGTATTTCAGCATTCTCTCTCCTGAGGCCCGGCCTTGTCCCTTGTAGATGATGGTGTTTAAAGACTGGAAACTTGGAGGAGAGGGGGAAAGTAATTTTGGTCAATTGAAGAATCATTCTGGAATATAACCTTATTTTTGTTAATTTATTAAAATTGATTCTTGCATAGTCACATGGTTCAAAATCCAGAA